CACTTCTGAGACGGCCCAACCTGTTCCGATCACCGCGAATTCATATTTCAAGTTTTTATAATATGTGAGTCAATGAGAGATTACGAATTTGAGAAAAGAAATAGTGTTATCTGGACGCCGAGTTCAATATAAAAACGTTTTCTCTGTCTCAAATTTGTAATTGATTCTGGTATTGAGAGGCGTCCAGATGAGAGAGGTGTTCGGATATACAGGTTTTGTTGTTAATACACTATACAACTGGCTTATCATGTCTCATTTAAAGGGGCATCAATGATTAAACGAGACGAGACAACAGTTCTAACATGATTTCACTGGATGATAATTTGATTTCTAAGGTTATTTTGGCGATAAGAATTTTAGGGGAATAAAGGCGACAATACGTTGATGAACGCAGACACGTTAATCATGTTACATGAGGTAACGTATAAAATATTCAGTGTTTAACGAACTTTAACGGGAAGCGACTTCTGAAGTCCTATAATGCTGTTCGTAGGGCGAGTGGTTATACTAAATTGATTATGTTTTTCCGTGATCATAAGGTTCATCGACACCCTATCCTGTTTGTATCAATCTTTTTATTACTCGATTAGATATCTTGGTGGTTTACCTGGTACCCAAACATCCGTAAATGCTCGATCAATCTTTAGTTGAAGATTACTCTAGTCAGTACTGATGTTATAGAGTAAACAAGGCTTTACTTTGGCTAAAATCAAAAATGACAGCCTTATACATCGTGGTTCACAAGGTTTAAAGCCCATGGTTCCTCTAACTATTTAGCACTTTGGATGTCGAAGATGTGCCATATAATGGCCACCCTGAAATATGTTCAGCAGATGCTCAAACAATCATCAGTAATCCGTACATTAGATTATCATACAAAAAAGATTCTCTGGAAATTTCACTTCAGCCCATGATACTGATACAGTTGGACATAATCTCATAATGGAACGTCTGTGAAGCTCCAACTTTTCTGGGCTACCCAAATATTCCATCCTCCTAAGCAGGTGTCCAGAATCCGTACCTCCTTCTTCTCCTAAAAAGAAAGAATATATATTTTGGATTTTGAAGCCCTGTGATCGGAGGATGAAGTATTCCGACTCTTGCCGAAGTTGGGCTTCCACATCAAACAAACAAACAAAAAACAAACAAACAAACATACGTCCAAAATTGCCGAATTGAATTTGTCCACCTTACTGTAAGCTAGAGAGCATGTTGACGCACAGGGCACGGTCATACAAAACTACTTCTTGGCAGATAACTCATTTATTCCATGACGGGAAGTTAGGATACATTAGTTGAAATGTCACTTTAGAGCATGTTACCTCTTGGGGAATCGGTTAATGAAAAAGAATGCTCAAGATGAATTACTGGTGAATATTGGCTTGTTTATTTTAGACTCTAACCGTCCCAATGTGCTTTCAGTCATTCGGAGATTTGCCGATGGCTGTAATTTAGCCAATTGTTATAAATTACTTCACTACATTAATGCAGATATGTGATAAAACTCTACAGCAGTTCTGCTCTATTGGTCTTCACTGTTTTATAATTGTTAAAACCTTTTATTTATACAGAACGTTTCCATCATTAAGATTTACCGTACCCCGACCGTCGTCACCCTGACGCACAGCAGTAGTGATAACAACCCTCTGAAAAGTACAATAAAATTCTACAGTTGTAATAATGATAATGATATGGATCAAGAGAGTCTATTAGATATAATGGCTAGCATGGGAGTGTATAAAATACATATAACATATTCTCGGTATGCGTGAACAACATGATTTCAAGAGTATTGCTTCTCTGTCGACGTCTCTGACCAATTTCATTGCACCATTAAAAAATTGCGTGAGACTCACCCCCCACGCGGGCAGCCCAAATTTTTCTTAAATTCTCCAACCTTTTGGAGACAATAAATCCTGGTCAAATATTTTCCATCGGACTACTTTGCCCCGAATCTGCTTTCTTTATAACACCAGAGCTTTTTGTAGGCTAATGTTTTTTGTAGGCTAATGTAATGAGGTATGTGCATGTGCAATACTTTTTAGTTCAAAAAGTGATAGGGCATTTTTAAAATGTACAATCACCGTACCTTAACATCAGTGCTGTTCTTGTGCGAAACACGACGGTATAGCATTTGATTGTATAGCAAAAGAACAAAACAGAACGCACTTCAACTTGCAAAATCATCGTAGGATTTCTCTTCTTGTGAGAAGATATTAAAGAGAAGCCGTTATCAAAATTGGAATATTTTTATCGTGTGAATTTGATAAGACGTCAGAGACGTTGACAGGGAAGCAATACACGTTGATGTTGTTTACGTTTTATAACTTGATTTTTATGTAGTAAAATGAAACATCTTGCCAGATTTATGGCTTCTCCGTCTTAATAGCCGTTCTGAAGATTTTTGCTTTTCAATTAATCATTACTTAATTGGCTGAAATCGGTTAAATGACGTATTTACATTACGTAAATAATACGATTTCATGATTTTGGTGTCATACTTTTTTCTCTGGGTCGATTGTTTCCATGTCCGCATATACCAGTTTAAGAATATTCTAAGAAGAAGTATAGATCGGTTGGTATTTGCAGAAGGGGAAACTATTTATCGGTTGCTGATTTATTAAGATCTTGTCAAGTATATTTTCAAGTTGAGTATAAAACTATCAGAAATATGCAAACCATATCAAGTTTATGATATACGAGTGCATTACGTAAAATAACGCTGAACGTTCATACAAATATAGTAACGAAACCAAACCATCCTTCAAAAACGATATTTCAGTATGACAATGTACGAACTTATTGCGTTTCTGATTCATTGATGAACTAAAACGTCAGAAAAGTTTGTATAATCAGCTGAAAAACGTACACAAAAATATAAGTGTGAGTACACGCAGTTTTACATCATCACCTTTTCATAAAGAAAAAAAACAATTCGATCATGTATCTTGTATTTCAGGACTCGAAATCGCAATCAAAGAATTCGACAACAAAGAGTATAGGGTTATGGGATGTTCCTGTTTTGTTGTACCTTCTTTTATCCAGAGCTTCTTTCAAGTTGATTTCGTTTACAAAGCTAGGGTATAATCTAACTAAACCAACTAAAAAAATGCCAATGGTATAACGTCTCTTAAGACGAAATATTTAACCACTGTACTGTATTGTAAAATTGTTAAATGTAGGTTTACCATGTAACTGTACTGTAATTGTTTTTTGCAATTGCTTTAACATGCTTATTCTTTGAAATAAAAAAAATTATAAAAAAAAGTCTGTAATAACAACATCATTCTTCACTAAGATTCCTGGAAGAGTGAGAATCTAAAACATTAACTAATACCACGAGTTATTTTAACGGACAACTGTAATTAATTGAACCCCAAAATAATTAATTAACTCCCCAGGTACCGAACATTGTGTCGAACTGACATTTTTCAATTCCCGCCGTGACTTATAAATCTTCATTTAATCTCTAGTGGATACCACTATATAATGGAAACATATTGTATTCATATAAAGCTTTGATTACGTCATGAATGAATATCAAGAATTACGTTGTTGTAAAATACAATTTCTCAGTGCTTCAACATCAATTTATAAAAGCCAGGGGTATTAAGCTTTAATATGTGGGTTCAATTTACCTTGTTAATATGGTTTCCTTTTAATAACAAGTAATTTTAGAATGATTAAATGGACGCCCAATTCCTTCTGTTTTTTTGCAATTCCTGCAATTTAGATTGAATATTTCATACTAGAAACACATAAAATGTGAAATACCACATGTGTGATCTTCATTGAAACATATGAAATATGAAGTGAACGAGATTACACTCCCCTCCAATAGTTTGGCAACATGGTCTCATTTTGGACCAGGTGTTTCTAACTCTATTGAGGAACAATACTGTCCCCAGTTGCTATACTTATTCAGGGGGTGTAAATCCATAATACTTCCAAATAGCGGGTATATCATATATACAATATAACAAAATGTCACCACTTTTTGGTGGTGTCATAAAAACCTGTCTTAGTGAACACCTCTCTCTCTAATTAACACCTGTCTTAGTGAACACCTCTCTCTAATTAACACCTGTCTTAGTGAACACCTATCTCTAATTAACACCTGTCTTAGTGAACACCTCTCTCTAATTAACACCTGTCTTAGTGAACACCTCTCTCCAATTAACACCTGTCTTAGTGAACACCTATCTCTAATTAACACCTGTCTTAGTGAACACCTCTCTCTAATTAACACCTGTCTTAGTGAACACCTCTCTCTAATTAACACCTGTCTTAGTGAACACCAATTCAAGACATATTTTACATTGATTGTTGTATCAATTCTCTTCTCTGTAGTGAACACCTACCTACAGTGAACACTTTTAGTGGATTCATAGGTATTCCTTTTATACAGATTTTACTGTAGATACATTGGATTGGCATTAAAAGTTCATATCACATAACCATGAAGCTATAACTAGATTACAGATTTGCTTGATCACAGTATGAAAATGTATAAATATGTTTTTGATAACTCATCAACACATGTACTCCGAGATAAAATGACACAACCATTTTTTGAAATTCCATCAAAATATTACTAACGAGCGGCAACATTACCCAAATTATTAACTTAGGATGATCATTTATAATTTTGATGCATCTAAATTTGTGGAATCAAATAAACTCACCATTAGAGCTTGTGATATTGAATCAATTAAAACAGATTTATTAATATGAAATTCTTAAGTTTTGATTTACAGGTAGCTTGTAGCAAGTGGTGAGTCAGCATGTGGTTTTCTCTCACTTCCTTTAATATCATTTCAACTGGATGCTATCAGTTCCATAATAATTCTAGATACCTTGAATCAGTAACTGATATTTCATCGGTTTTACTATGAAGTGAATTATCTTCCTGATCTTTTCACATTTCGCTCAAATGAAGATGATTTAAATGCGTGAGAACCTGACTAAACTTGAACATGATTAATGATCATGTTAAATCATACATATTAGACAGAGTCAAAAAGAAAGAGCATATAGTTTAATAAGTCTTTATTTAAAATTATTTCTTAAATATTAAAGAAATTGATAAAAGCATAGTAATAAAAATTATACTAAAATGGCATGACATGTTACAGTAGAAACACTGTTCCAACAGTGGCATCATGTTTCTAGCATTAAAATATATACTTTGATTGAATTTAAAGGTATTCTAAAATCACAGTGCTGAATTAAAACTCATAATTCTTCTCCTCTTCAAAATTTTTGCATTAATATGGCACCAAACTTGACTCGGAAACTAACTTTACTGATCAGTCTTTTTCTAGAAATGTTTAAAGTCTATGATTTGGAATCAATCGCATCGAATGACTGCATCAGGTTGGCCTGTACTCCCTCCAGATGGCGCTTTGATATGGAGTTTTCGACCAATGGGCTGGGTCCATTTCTAAGAGGGGTGCCTGCATACTGTTGTCGCAGTTTGCTATAACCCCTTGAACATGGACTAGGCCATCTGCAAATAAGAAGTGCAGTATTTCAACATTATCACTTTATGTCACTTGTTCCATTACACTGTCATACTGGTATGTGGTTTAAGGGTAGATGAGTCTTTAAGAAACGTGGGTATGTATTTGAATCTTAAATAAAGACAACTTGTAAAGTAAGACAGTGTATGCTTTCTAGTTAATTGTATAGATGTCATGACAGTGAAGAGATGACGTTACTTTTTCTACACATTGCTATTTTTCTTCACTCACTTTATCTTAGAAGTATTTGAACCTTTCTAAATTCACTTTTTTATCATTAAAAGAACAAGCCCTATATTGATGAATATCACACTCATAACAACAAACACCCAGCATCCCCCAAAGTTGAATAGTTTTTTTAGATGGACTTACCTGTTTCTATCAGCTTCAGAGTGTGATTGGACCAGTGACAGCCAATGAGAGATGTATGGATGTGTATTGGGATCTATGTCAACTGTGTCCAGGGCTCTACATACATCAACGTCCCTCTTACTGGGAAAGAGCCTAATAAATGAAATAGCCATCATATTAAACATAAACAAAATATCTATAGTTTAAAACAAACTAGTATAATATATATATGTGTAGAGAGCTTGAATAAATCCACATATAATATTTTAATATTTTGCAGCAATTTCATTAATAAAGTGTCTTTGTTTTGTGCAAATTCAAATACGTAAGTATTAAGCACAAATGCCAACAGGAAAACACAAAAAAAAGTTACAGAACCCAGCAAGAAAAAGAAACCATCTAAGAGTATGCCAGTCATGGAAAATAAATAATATGGATTTTCCAACTTACCCATCAATGAAAATATTTTGCTTGTGTTCCAGAGGACCAAGTTTCCCAGGACATTCCTGCTTGGCAGTTTCAACACTGTCATCCTCAATAGGTCTAGTTATCTTCTTAGGTGTATCAAATGAATCAAAGTCCTTAACTTTTGTTACCTTCACATCAGGGTCACTGTTAGGAATGTCTGAGTCTACCGTGTCATTTGATTGAACAGGTGCACTGATGGGTTCAATGGGGTTGTTTTCAATGACATCAAATGAGGGATCATTGATTTTGCTTTTGGGAGACCAAAGCAAATTCGATAGTCCATTATAGACATTTCTGACACCTCCAGTAACTCTTGATGTCAACATTCGCAATGGAGATACAGCAGCTCCACCTGGTGTAGGATTGAGTTGAATGGCTTTTACATTCTGTGCTGTGGCATTGATCTCATTAAGATTAACACTGTCATTTGGCAAGATTTCATGACTACTGCACTGTCCAGGTTCAAATTTTGACAAATCAGATTCATTTTGGGTGGAGCTGGATCTAGCCCCTTCTTTGGCTTCAAACACATCACTGGCATCAACAAACAGCTCTATCTGTCCACTATCTTTCTCTGGTATAGACTTAAACACATCTTCAGCTGTTCTGTCACTAGTGATTTTGCTATTTGAGTGTGGGGGTACAACACTAGGGCTGTTAAGAGTTAGTAGCGCCATCTGGGATGTCAAACTACCTACACCATCACTGCTATTCATAATGCTATCATTTTGTTTTGCTTTGATGTCATTATTGAATACTTCAGTAGGATCACTTTCTGTGGTTGATGGGTTGTCTGTATCATCTGCATCATCAGCAGGCTCCTCACAATCAACAAAATCATCCTTGTCATCTTTATTGTCATCATTAAGATCATCATCACATTTAATATTTTGAGCCTCTTTCTCTTGTGTGTACATATCCTGCTTCTCTCTCAGGAACTGCTCTAGTTTATCTAGACCTGTTGTTGTGGTCAGATCAGCATAGCATTGTAAGAAATCCCAATATTCATTCCAGGAGACACACAACTCAGCAGCCAAACCTCTGCAAATGAATGAAGTCTTTTGGTTTGTATGAGTTTAATGTAACAAAAGCTTGGACTAAATATATGAATTGCAACTTCATCATCCTCCAATCACAGGACTTCAAAATTCAGAATATCTTCTTTCTTTTTACCCCCTGCTATAACCAAGTTGGAAGTGCCCGATTAAACTGAATCACATGATCTAATCATGCGCCAATGACGTATACATGATTGCTGTCGCACTGCGACAATCGGGGAAATGCTAACTGCTTATAGCAGGGGGGAAGGCAGTAGGGATTCTGGACACCTGCATAGGAGGATGCAACTTCATTAACAAAACAAATTCCAATCTAGGAGAAACTTATTAAAGCAGGACTATATTTTCTTGCTTTGTGCCAAATTATAATCTGCAACTTGACTTATAAGTAGGTTTAAACTGAGAAAACCCAAAAATCATAACCAGGAAGTTCATCCATTTTGTTAAATTGATGTTTCATTTTCTTTATGAGCCTACTATCCTTTCAACCCCCTTGTCAGGGGCGGTGTATTTGCCTACCTTCCTAACCTTTCAACCCCCTTGTCAGGGTTGGTGTATTTGCCTACCTTCCTATCCTTTCAACCCCCTTGTCAGGGTTGGTGTATTTGCCTACCTTCCTATCCTTTCAACCCCCTTGTCAGGGTCAGTGTATTTGCCTACCTTCCTATCCTTTCAACCCCCTTGTCAGGGTCAGTGTATTTGCCTACCTTCCTATCCTTCAACCCCCTTGTCAGGGTCAGTGTATTTGCCTACCTTCCTATCCTTTCAACCCCCTTGTCAGGGTCAGTGTATTTGCCTACCTTCCTATCCTTTCAACCCCCTTGTCAGGGTCAGTGTATTTGCCTACCTTCCTATCCTTTCAACCCCCTTGTCAGGGTCAGTGTATTTGCCTACCTTCCTATCCTTTCAACCCCCTTGTCAGGGTCAGTGTATTTGCCTACCTTCCTATCCTTTCAACCCCCTTGTCGGGGTCGGTGTATTTGATGTTACGCAGTTTCTTCATCTCAGCCAGGTTGCGTGTTGGCGATCCATGTGTAGGTGACCCCATCCATTGCTTGTGAAACGCTGATGCCTGCATTTAAAAGAATACAATATACAGGGTGGTCAAAAAATGGAAACCCTGCATTTTCCTCATATCTTTGTCATTTCCTTCTGTTGGGGCCTCCTAAAAATATTGGTACCTCAGAAAAGTCCTTGAAACCCAGAGTGAAGAGATTATCTGTCACAAAATTTTTCACTAAAATTGCACTTATTTGAACAATTTTCATCGAATTTACACAAGAATTGTTTCAAAATGTCTAGGAATGATCCCTGTCTATTAATTTAACTAAAATGAGCATCACCTTGTACATGTATTTAGTAAAATGTCAAAAGCTGGCAAAAATAAAAAGTTCTCTGGTTTCAACCGATTTTAGAACCTCGGATTCAAGAGGTTAAAATAAATCAAAGGAATTGAAAAGTCATTCAACTTGAATCTTTCAGACTGTGTTTTCTTTTAAGTCCCCATGAGATTTTTGACAAAAATAATTTTTTGAAAAAAGTTGTCAGCTTTTCATTTCTCAAATATCCAAATTCTGCCATATTTCAAATAAAAGAATTTCACAAATCTCAACTTTTTTGAACTTTCCAAAATGGCGACAATTGTGAATGAATTTGCTATTATTAATGCAGAATCATATTAGGGTAATGAAGTTATGGGTAGGCATATTTTGGTATATTTGGAAAATTGAAAAATTGAAAAAATGTAATTATTTTATCCTTTTCCTTAAACCAACTCGATTTCTTGTAGTCCACGAGAATTGTTCCAAAGAGAAGCTCAAATCAGTTGTGTTTAAATTTACCCTATGAAGTGGATTCACTATTCAATAATTCAAAGCATTGATTATTCAATCTTTCAACTTACCTTAGAAGGTGACATGGGACCTGCAAATGCCTTCACATTGAGAAGGGGGTCTCTTGGGCTTTGACTGGGAGAGCTGTGTAGCTGACCTGGAATATCAAAACATGTGTTGAGAGGGATAGGGGTCAATACTAGTTAGAGGGGAGTTTTTCAACTCTAAACCTAATTTCAAAAGGTAAATAAAGAAGAAATTAAAAAAATGTTTTAATCTGTACTTTACCTATATAATCAAAGTCAGACTGACTCTGTTCAGGGGACCAAGGCTCTGAGATGACAGGTGGTGTACATACCTATATAATCAAAGTCAGACTGACTCTGTTCAGGGGACCAAGGCTCTGAGATGACAGGTGGTGTACATACCTATATAATCAAAGTCAGACTGACTCTGTTCAGGGGACCAAGGCTCTGAGATGACAGGTGGTGTACATACCTATATAATCAAAGTCAGACTGACTCTGTTCAGGGGACCAAGGCTCTGAGATGACAGGTGGTGTACATACCTATATAATCAAAGTCAGACTGACTCTGTTCAGGGGACCATGTCTCTGAGATGACAGGTGGTGTACATACCTATATAATCAAAGTCAGACTGACTCTGTTCAGGGGACCATGTCTCTGAGATGACAGGTGGTGTACATACCTATATAATCAAAGTCAGACTGACTCTGTTCAGGGGACCATGGCTCTGAGATAACAAGAGGTGTACATACCTATATAATCAAAGTCAGACTGACTCTGTTCAGGGGACCATGGCTCTGAGATGACAGGTGGTGTACTATTGTCATCAGATCTCAGGAGTGGCACATAGAACTGATCTAAAATGAAATTCAGAATAGAGGTTGAGTAATTGAGAACTCAGAGGCCTCAAACTACCTAAAATTAGTATACCTGTGTATTACATACCTAGCGAAGCATTTGTATGGAGGTCAATGGAGCTGAAGGACGGCTATATATTCCTGTATAGCCGCCAAACTTTTTTACCATGACAATTGTATGACGTCAAAACATGGAAACAAAGTGATTTCGACTGGAATCATGTAAAATTTTGGTCATTTTTCACGCATTATTCTACATAATACCTTCATGGAATGCAATGTAAATGTACTTTAGGTATGTAATACATCAATTATGTCCGTATCATTGAATATATGCCTTCAGTCTGTCGTCAATATAACCCTCGCAAGCTCGGGCTATATTGACGTCAGACTTCAGGCATATATTCAATGATAGGAACATAACTGCTAAGTATTGTGTAACTTGTGCATATAGAATCTAGTTTTATAGAGCCTTTATTGTCGTCAGTTTTGACCTCACTATCCAAATTCCTTCCACCCAAGCCACATTCTCACAACGTGAATATTGGTTCTTTAGTCACAATCCAGTTCCTCTCCTGGATTCATTTCTCCACTTGCACATTGAATTTCCACATCGCGAACCACTGGCGGAAGGAAAGTGTATGGCGATGTCAGAAAGGAAGTCTAGGAGGCCTGGAATTCAGTTTAACCATACAAAAATCAATGATTTGAAAATCAAAATTTGAAAAAGGTTTTAAGGCAGTTGATGGTGTCTAATTCAACAGAAATATGTGTATATCATCTTTGGTCCATTGCACTGTGTATTTTCAATGTTTTGTGGTATCTCACCTTCTAACAGTTCCTTCATTTTATCCTTGGTTTCTTTGCTTACATTCTGTACCCGACTACACAGAACCTGATGATAAAAATGGCAGAGATATTATACAATACAGCAAGCTAATGTTACTTGTAAGTAAAGCCTATATTGATGTATTCTTGGTCTCTGCTAACATTCTGTACCTGACTACACAGGACCTGAAGACAAAAATGTCAGAGCACATAACAATACAGTAGCTAATGTTACTCAGTAAGGCCTATATTGTTGTATGCTTCGTTACATTCTGTGCCCGACTACACAGGACCTGAAGACAAAAATGTCAGAGCACATCACAATTCAGTAGCTAATGTTACTAAGTAAGACCTATTTGTTCTATGCTTCGTTACATTCTATACCTGACTACACAGGACCTGAAGACAATAATGTCAGAGCACATAACAATACAGTAGCTAATCTTACTAAGTAAGGCTTATATTGGTGTATGCTTTGTTACATTCTGTACCTGACTACGCAGGACCTGAAGACAAAAATGTCAGAGCACATAACAATACAGTAGCTAATGTTACTAAGTAAGGCCTATATAGTTGTATGCTTTGTTACATTCTGTATCTGACTATGCAGGACCTGAAGACAAAAATGTCAGAGCACATAACAATACAGTAGCTAATGTTACTAAGTAAGGCCTATATAGTTGTATGCTTCGTTACATTCTGTACCTGACTACGCAGGACCTGAAGACAAAAATGTCAGAGCACATAACAATACAGTAGCTAATGTTACTAAGTAAGGCCTATATAGTTGTATGCTTCGTTACATTCTGTACCTGACTACGCAGGACCTGAAGACAAAAATGTCAGAGCACATAACAATACAGTAGCTAATGTTACTAAGTAAGGCCTATATAGTTGTATGCTTCGTTACATTCTGTACCTGACTACGCAGGACCTGAAGACAAAAATGTCAGAGCACATAACAATACAGTAGCTAATGTTACTAAGTAAGGCCTATATAGTTGTATGCTTCGTTACATTCTGTACCTGACTACGCAGGACCTGAAGACAAAAATGTCAGAGCACATAACAATACAGTAGCTAATGTTACTCAGTAAGGCCTATATAGTTGTATGCTTTGTTACATTCTGTACCTGACTACGCAGGACCTGAAGACAAAAATGTCAGAGCACATAACAATACAGTAGCTAATGTTACTAAGTAAGGCCTATATAGTTGTATGCTTCGTTACATTCTGTACCTGACTACGCAGGACCTGAAGACAAAAATGTCAGAGCACATAACAATACAGTAGCTAATGTTACTAAGTAAGGCCTATATAGTTGTATGCTTCGTTACATTCTGTACCTGACTACGCAGGACCTGAAGACAAAAATGTCAGAGCACATAACAATACAGTAGCTAATGTTACTAAGTAAGGCCTATATAGTTGTATGCTTCGTTACATTCTGTACCTGACTACGCAGGACCTGAAGACAAAAATGTCAGAGCACATAACAATACAGTAGCTAATGTTACTAAGTAAGGCCTATATTGTTGTATGCTTCTTTACATTCTGTACCCAACTACACAGGACCTGAAGACAAAAATGTCAGAGCACATCACAATACAGTAGCTAATGTTACTCAGTAAGGCCTATATTGTTGTATGCTTCGTTACATTCTGTACCTGACTACACAGGACCTGAAGACAAAAATGTCAGAGCACATTACTATACAGTAGCTAATGTTACTAAGTAAGGCCTTGATATTGTTGTATTCTTTGCTAATATTCTGTCCCCGACTACAGGACCTGAAGACAAATATGTCAGAGGACATCACAATACAGTAGCTAATGTTACTAAGTAAGGCCTATATTGTTGTATGCTTCGTTACATTCTGTACCTGACTACGCAGGACCTGAAGACAAAAATGTCAGAGCACATAACAATACAGTAGCTAATGTTACTAAGTAAGGCCTATATAGTTGTATGCTTCATTACATTCTGTACCTGACTACGCAGGACCTGAAGACAAAAATGTCAGAGCACATAACAATACAGTAGCTAATGTTACTAAGTAAGGCCTATATAGTTGTATGCTTCGTTACATTCTGTACCTGACTACGCAGGACCTGAAGACAAAAATGTCAGAGCACATAACAATACAGTAGCTAATGTTACTAAGTAAGGCATATATTGTTGTATGCTTTGTTACATTCTTTACCTGACTTCAGGACCTGAAGACAAAAATGTCAGAGCACATAACAATACAGTAGCTAATGTTACTTAGTAAGGCATATATTGTTGTATGCTTTGTTACATTCTGTACCTGACTACACAGGACCTGAAGACAAAAATGTCAGAGCACATCACAATACAGTAGCAAATGTTACTAAGTAAGGCCTATATTGTTGTATGCTTCTTTACATTCTGTATCTGAATATGCAGGACCTGAAGACAAAAATGTCAGAGCACATAACAATACAGTAGCTAATGTTACTAAGTAAGGCCTATATTGTTGTATGCTTTGCTAATATTCTGTCCCTGACTACAGGACCTGAAGACAAAAATGTCAGAGCACATAACAATACGGTAGCTAATGTTACTAAGTAAGGCCTATATTGTTGTATACTTCGTTACATTCTGTACCTGACTACACAGGACCTGAAGACAAAAATATCAGAGCACATAACAATACAGTAGCTATGTTACTAAGTAAGGCCTATATTGTTGTATGCTTTGTATGCTTGATAGGTCAGTAATGTGAAAAAGCATGTACTGTACCAGTACCAGTTTGAGCAGTTGGTTGATTATCTCATTGTACGAAAATAGAAACCCAAATGCTTATTTCTCAACAACATGTCACGATTTATCAATTATATATATGATTGTTGTTCAGAATTTGTGGTAGTTTAAGGAGGAACAATGAACAAGGTAGTTGACTTGATGACTTATAAGATATCAAATTAAAATTTATTTAAGTTTATGTTGCATAATTGTTTCAAATGCAATATCAATCTTCTGATAAAAACAGAGTTAATTTACTCCGAACACTTTCAGTACTGGGCAAAAAGTTTGAGGTTGTGTAACTAGAGGAGTGAAATCGATGCAGAAATGTAGTTTTGAGTTCTGCCAATAGGTGGAGCACCTATCAGCCTCGTTCTAGTTTTTGAGTTTATTTTATATTTCTCTAGCTCATTTGTATGTAATTCACATTTGTTTCTGGTAGTTACGCATGAACTAAATAAAGCATCATATTCAAATTTATTTCTGCTAGTGATGTAATTTTGTAAAATGTGAATTCAACATGGGTACAACAACAGAAAAAGAACATGGGAGATTGTGAGTGTTAAACTTGCAGAGGTGTTTATTTCAAAGGGGCACTCAACTCGAGATATCTTACTGAACTAGTACTAATCAGTCACAATGTTATTTTTAATTATAATACTGACATGTTGGAAATTGTTTGGGTATAATAAGAGAAAATGCATGCATTTGATATATTTTTCAACAATGCTTTAGGTGCAACTTGTACTGTGTATCCTGGGAGTGTTAGCCAGTGTTGTTACCGCTCAGCTAGGGGGAAGGAACCCAAGGTTTGGCACATGTCTCTGTGTCACAGGCAGCAGTGTCAATGTAAGAGATAATGGTAGGTATGAGTGTAATCAACACTTATCAAACTTAATCGACTTCACAAGTGTGACATAAATACAGGGGTGATGTCCAGGGGTTTCATTAGCTGCAGGCAACAGGCAATTTTCACCGGTTGTTGTCACAAAATCGCCTGTTGTTTTTGGGGACTTTTCAACTTTTTCATGTTAAATTTATGATTTCCATTAATTTTGACTGTTGTTTTCATTAATTGAGCCTGTTGTGAGAAATTCTAGTGAAATCCCTGGGAGTAACACATTATTTTAGCCAGTCTATGGGATATTGGTGGTTTGATTTTCTAATGACTAGGTGTGCTCCGTTAAGCAGTATGACTGCCTAATCTCTAATTAAGAACATAAATTGCAGTATAATGTACTTTAGATTAATAGATCCTAGAATAAAGCCTTAAAGGTGCAACAATTAGTGCAGGGGGGGGGGCATTCAACGATCATCGACCAGTGTCAAAATATATTTAGTTTGGATATTTCATCAAGACTAACATATATTTTTATTATCTACAAAGAAACTCCCTGAAACCCCCTGGATGAGATGAACATTATTTCAGCTGATATTCCTCTTGAAACGTGATGGATCTTAAAAATTTATAAGTGGGACTCCCTAAAAGAAGCTTTGAACTGAATTTACACTTCTTAATGCTGAAATTGATAGTTTATCCATACATTTTAAGAAAATAGGTCTGTCAAAGAAGATGTTAAGCCAAATTTTCAAATTTTTTCTCTATAGTCCTTGTTGCCCTTTAAACAGAGCCATTAATGACCAGCTTCAAATCCATTTATATTAATGAAATTTAATAGATCTCAATACTGTATCTTTGATACAGCTGGACTGAACTCTCGTGTGATTGGTTCAATCAATCGTGGACAGTGCTACAAGTATACTGGGCTGAAGTTGACACGTGACGGCTACTCCTGGTATACAATAGATTATAACGGACGACGTGGTTGGGTTGCGGGAAATTATCTCATCGAGTCGGCCGCTAGCAGGTGTAAGTACCCACAGTATTCAGACAAGTGTACAATACAACTGTTGACAGATTCAGAGGTAGACAGTTAACATGATATCCAAAACTGTAAACCTAGAATGTAGGTCAAGGTTGTCAGTCAAATAATATGATTTTGAAAGTCAGTTGCATAGAGACTTCTTTAAATTTTTGGTAATCACTGGAGAAAATAAAACTGAACTAACTGCAAGTGAAAGTTTGAATTCATCAAATTCTGTAAGTTTTCCCTAATCCTTGCAAGCAATGCATATTAATCTTGCTAACCAGGATTCTGTATGGTATAAGTTCTGTGACAGAATGTCTCTTTACTCAGGTCAAAGTGGTGGGGGAAGGCCTGGTTGTGGTAGAGTAGATTATCGCGGCTATCGGGTCTCTGACTCACAAGTTCGGGCAAAACTTGTCCAAATTGCTGATCTATTTTGCAACCGGCTGTGGGTAACTAGTGGAGATAGACCCAATGGCAGACCTGGATCACATGTAAGTTACATGTATGCATCAACGGCCAAATGAGTAGACTAAACATTAGTCAAAAGAGTAAAAAAAATATCATAGAACAGGAATCCCCAGTATCCCAAGCAATGATAATACATACAAAGAAAAAGTGTTCAAATACACACCATCCCTGCTCTTCCTATTTCATCATTATCACATTTATCTCATATGAATTTTCATTAAATGTCTTGACAGCAATTTCTGGACTCATTTTGATCACATCAAAACTGTATAAGAGTCTAAAAGAAGGCGTATCTCTATTCATAGCTGAAATATGGCAAGCTTCCTTATTTTGTATGTTTGTAAAACAGATGTGAGTTTCCCATGAGTTTTAACAAGGCAAAGGGTGAACAATATCGTACCTAAAACATATCAGTGTGGGCTCATTGACCCAGATAGCAAGATGCCCACCAAAAAGTTAATCAGCTGTAGAACTTCTTACCATGCCACATGTGTAAAAATTTGAAGGAAATCTGTTAAGTGTTTTTCCTGGAATCGCATATATGACAAGATTTATCTTAGACCTTCCAAAATGGCTGCCAGAATGCAAGATGGCCACTGAAAACTGAATCAGTTCTTGAACTTCTAAAACAGTAAAAAGGTTGATCATACTACATTGTTTTCATATCACTATGTTGTGTTCATAGCACTATGTTGTTTTCATAGCACTATGTTGGTCGTGCAGCTGACTTCTGGATTGATGGCCAAAGCAACAATGGAGGTGCAATGTTTGACAGAATAAGACGCAGTGGAATCATGAATACAGACTACCAGGTATAGTATACATTCCTCTGAAACAAGCAGTACTGTCTCTAAATTACCCTCAATCAAATAAACTAAACAAAATAAAATAACACCATATGGCATCTTCACGCAGCACATAAGATAAGAAACAACAACCTTAATATCAGATACAAGGCAAATAACTGTGCAGTCCCATCAGTTTAACTTAGCTTAGGATAGTGTTCTATTAATGGAAGTGTCCAACTTTCAGAGGTGTTCCACGTACATGTAAATGCCTTCATTTCCAGGTCATTTGGCATGGAAGTAGGACATGCACTGGAGGGGAACACATTCACATAGGACGCTACACTGATGGTAGAAGAACCTGTTGGGTGCATGAGGGAACAAGACCAGGCAACAGGTGCCAGTATAGGTGTATGTAGGGGCTGTTCTGGTGCATGTACGTGAAAACAGTGCATATATGTGCTACAGATACTTGCGTGATACAAGTACATCCATTTTACATATTCAAACAGTTTGGGAAACAAAATTTCATGTTTATAAATATTTATCCTTGCTTCATTTATAGCATTGTTCTGCAATATAATAAATAAATATAAGAAACAAAATTAAAATGATCAATTGGACTTAATGAGCGACAAGCAAATGAGCTTGAACAGTTGAACAGCAGGCACATAGCCAGGATTTGCCAAGGAGGGTTCACTTTTTAAAAATTTCCAGGGGGGTTCACTTTTGACAATATTGCACCAAAAATGGCCGAAATCACTTGAATGGTCTTAATCACTTGAAAGGTGCTCAGAATGGTGAAAAGCTGCATGATTTTGAAAGAATTCTTGGCCAGGGTGATTCACTCGAACCCCCAGAACTCCCTGGCTATGGGCCTGAACAGGTAAGCCCTTACCCACACAGATAGAAAAGGTGCATTATAACTTACATCTGCAGGTGTTTCTCCAAACTTGCTCTTGATTTGTTTCTGTATACGCGGATGGGTTGCCAATACCTCCAAGACATCCAGGTTGCCAAATTTTGACGCAAAATGCAATGGCGTTTCATTGTTTCCTTTATCAGGCATATTGATATACAAGTCGACGAGGAACTTTATTCTGCTGGTGGATGTATCAAGGGAATCTTGGGGGTATAGCAGTTGCACAAAATTCACCGTTTCAAGGGTGTCTAAGATGAATCGTGTTATTGCTGCTTGGTTGCATTTGGCTGCTACATGAAGAGCATTGTATCTGAATCCCTCCTGAAATAGAAAACGGTGCTATATATGCAATGTTGATGTGGAAATGCATCCTCCTAAGCAAGTGTCCAGAATCCGTACCTCCTTTCCCCCTGCTATAACCGATTTGGAAGCGCCCGATAAAACTGAATCACGTGATCTAATTATGCTAACTGCTTATCGAGGGAGTAAAAAGAAAGAAGTATTCTGGATTTTGAAGCCCTGTGATCGGAGGATGGTGGAAATGTGGCAGCCAGTTCTGTAGCTCAGTGGTAGAGCATTTGCCCGGTACTTGGGGTCATGGTTTTAATCCCAATGCGGTAGACTTTTTGACACCCTGAGCAAAACTGGAAACTGACAACAATTTCAATACATTTTACAGCTATATTAAAAAGTCATGATAAGTGAAAAATTGAAAAGTTTAAGCAAATCAATTTTAAGACTAATATATGTCATGTCAATGTACACATGGTTTTCAAGGAAAAACACAGAAAAAACAATTCAAATTTTTCTGATATCAGCAGATGGTCAGTTTTCAGGAAAATGCAATTAACAAAAAAATGACTGTTGTGTTTTTGGTTCAAAGGTCGAGAATTTTCAATACAATTACCTGCAGTATTGTAGGTGTATCACCAGAACTGACAAGGTACCGCGGGCTACTGTCAGTCATATAATTTGGTTAAAAGGTCAAGAATTTTCAATACAATTACCTGCAGTATTGTAGGTGTATCACCAGAACTGATAAGGTACCGCGGGTTACTGTCAGTCATATAATTTGGTTAAAAGGTCAAGAATTTTCAATACAATTACCTGCAGTATTGTAGGTGTATCACCAGAACTGACAAGGTACCTAGGGTTACTGAGTACAAGCTCTTTAACACCATCAAGGTCACCTTTTTCAATCATCTTGCGCATTTTCATCAGATCTTGAACCTTAGGTCCCTGAAAAACATGGAAAACAATCAGAGGTGAAGACTCATAGAGCTTAATAATAATGTATACAGAATTATCACTTTTATTCAATAAACAAACAAAAACTCTTAGTAATTACTATTTATGGTTTAAGTACTGTTTCTCAGACATATTAATAATGCAGGGGTTTCATTAACAGAAAGCAACAGGCGATTTTCACCAGATATTTTCACAAAACCACCTGTTTTTCTTAGGAACTTTTCAACTTTTCCATGTTAAATTCATGATTTCCATTAATTTTGCCTGTTTTTCATTCATTTCTGTTATGAGAAATTCTAGTTAAACCCCTGTAATGGCACAAAATACATTTCACCATGATGCACTTTCATCAGTGTGACCTCGTTTTTGAAGACTGAGCTGGCCACTCAGAGCCATCTATAATATATATGTATATAATCATTTATTATTGAACATCTATTCAACAAGACACACTTTGATAAATATCACACTTTTTTTTATCAAATATTCGAAATGGCCACAAACTAATTTAGCCAGTATTCCCAAAACCTAATCAGACATGGCACTAGCCTGCTCTTAAATGCATCTGAGCTAGTTTAAACAGGTTTAAGCATTATTCCTAGAATTTTGATTTATGACATGCCTCAGTGACCCAGACAGACAGACAGACAGACAGATGCCCATCCATCTGCAAGCCATGAGGATGACCACATAAAACACTTTGAAAAGATTCAATATAAGTGATAATGTTGATCTAGCAATCTGTGGAATAATTACCTTGAACAAAGAGGACTCAGCTGATACAGGTATTTGAGGCTTTTGAGGACCATCTCCGACATCAACCTGAAAGTGAAATAACAAGTTTATCACATTGCACTCCCAGGATTATACTTAATGCTCCAAGATCTCACTATTTGTCGTTCTTGGGGGGAGAGGCATTCTTAAAATTGGATTTCACCTAGATTTGGGATTAATATATTTTTACGCCGGGTGACTATACATTTTTCACAATTTTACAATGGAAAAAGTTGAACGATGTCAGATGCTCATTTCAGGTCCGGATTTATAATCTAATAGTTGAACCTTGTAAATTGCAAAAAACACATTATTTCTATTCCGGGAAAGTGTGAGCACTGTGAGCGTAAAGTTACTACAGCTACACTGAACAAAAAATCTGGTTGCTGAAATAGGATGTTATTTCCAAGGAGATTATTTCCTTGATTTATGAGCGGGGTCACCCCCTCTCATCTGGCATACAAGGTGATTATAAGTCTACTGAGTTCATATGTACTTAGAGATTATATATAATTGAATTCTATTGATTACATACATGTACAGTACTGTACTGTGCATGTTGAATGTACATGTATGATACCTGAGACTTACATAAATTTATTTATGATGGTCTCAGATGATACAGAACACCGGAACGTATTTTAAAAATTCTACATTACATGTACATGTACAAATACCAAAAATAAAATATCTTACACTTATCTGCGGGTTAGTCCTACAAGGAGATGCATATTCTTCGGCTTTTCTTTGACAGAATTCTTCTGCTTCTTGTATTGTCTTAAAAACTTTAAATCGAGACCCTTTTAGCCTTTTTGCTGTTTTAAAAGCTTCTACTTTATCTGTAAATATCAGGTTTTGCCCCTCTTCTAACACTACATCACTTGGAACTGATAAACTATAAAATAATTCAGCCGATCTTTGCATTTGAGGAAGTGTTGGCTGAATTTTATCAGTTGTCTTTCCATTTTCCGATATCTTTGATTCAATCGAAATGTGGCCATCATTGTTTTCTTCAACAGATATACCCCTTTCAATGGCAATAAACTTAGTAAGCTTTTTCTGGAAAATTCGTCGAACAATAGCGTCATTTACTGGACCAATAGAGACACCGAATTCTTTTAATTTTTTCCGGAGTGTTTCTTCATCAAATAATTTTACTTCTTCAAGAATGTCATCCATTGTGCATTTCGTGCGTTCTTTGAAGAATAAATAGTACGCTGGTTTGATTATATTCTACTAAAATCACAAATTAAAGCTGTAAAAAGGCTTTCTTCTTAACAATATTTTATTTTAAAAATTTCCTCACTTTTCAAAGAATGATTAAATTTAGGGAATCACTAAATATTCGAATTGCGTTTTCTGATATATTTATGATTGAAAAGACTTATTAAATTTTCTTTATCATTTCTGCATCCTGATCTGTTGACATTTAGGTCTTAAAACTTTCACTTGAACACTTTAATGAAGCATTTGTGTCTTTGTCATTTTATTGTAACCATTTTTCGTGAGTCTGAATGCGCTGCCATGATTGATATACACTGAACGAAATGCAAAAATTTGCAAAAATAAAAAAATGAAACTGACCTCCCTTCTCAGTTTATCTAGTTTTATCGCAAGCTGAGCCTAATTGGTAAGTAGAGTGTACCATTTTCTGATTCTCAGAGACCCATGTAACATGTGTGTATCGTGTCCTTGCATTATGATGGCATTAGAGTGTCTACAAAAGTGCTATGTTCATTTTTTGAATAAAATTTTTCATTTCATTCATCATTGAAAAAGTGGGATTATCTGAAAGATTAGATCTAGTGAACAGGAACCTGAAATGCCATCTACTGGAGAAATTGCAAATCTGGAATATCATTTATTATCATTGACAGTTATTGAGCGAACAGAGTTTCCAAAACTGCTGCGTTTTCAGGGCCGTCAGATGGGGGGGTGCGATGGGTGCGACCGCACCCCCCTTTGTCACCCCCCAAAATAAGTTTGAAAAAAAAATTTGAAATTTTTTTTTTTCTTTTTTGTAATTTTTTTTCATTGACTCATACACTTTGAAAGTACCCAGTAAAAGCAACAAATAGCATCTTAGAATTGTAAAATTTTCTAGGGGTATTGGCCACCCCTCACACCTCCCCCCACAAAACAATGGAAACTTCTAAATTTATTTTAGAGTTTTGTCTCAGACACTTTTAAGGTGCTATGGAAGTTAACAGGAAATGACAAAACAGGAAGTGACAATTTTTTTTGAATTTTTATATATTTTTGGAATAAAGATAATAGAGTTCTGGTTTGACCTCCAGTCAATTTAACTATATCCACATATCATTTACATGACCAGGATCACAATGTGCATGGTCAGAATGACCCTAAACATGATGAAATAACCTTTTTAGCCCTTTGAAAGTGTGACTGAAAAAAAGCTAAAAGTAGGAGCGTAGGGAAGGTCACTGAACAGAATCTTTTGAATTTTTCAGAAAATGTGCCCAATATATTGCTCTAAATGATACAATCTTTGAAAATTTGATATCATTCATAGAAAAAGAAAAAAATGAAAAAACTGATTTAAAAAGCAATCTATTTTCCTTTTTATGACCGCCATTTTTGTTTAAGACAATTTTCTAAAATTTCAAAGATTGTACTAGTTAGAGCATTATATTGGGCACATTTTCTGAAAAAATCAAAAGATTCTGTTCAGTGACTATCCCTATGCTCCTACTTTTAGCTTTTTTTCAGTCACACTTTCAAAGGGCTAAAAAGGTTATTTCATCATGTTTAGGGTCATTCTGACCATGCACATTGTGATCCTGGTCATGTAAATGATATGTGGAAATAGTTAAATTGACTGGAGGTCAAACCAGAACTCTGTTATCTTTATTCAAAAAATATCTAAAAATGCAAAAATAATTATCACTTCCTGTTTTGTCATTTCCTGTTAACTTCCATAGCACCTTAAAGTGCCCAGATATCATCAAATAGCTCCTTGATATAGTTAGTGTTTCTGGGGGACTTACTCCCCCTCTTGCATCTTGCACTTGCATACCCCCCCCCTCTGGCGCCCCCCCCCCCCTTGACCCCCCCCAAAAAAAAAATTGTTATTTTCTCAAATTCTTTAATTGACTCATACACTTTGAAAGTGCTCGGAAAGCACCAAATAGCATCGTAAAATTGTAAAATTTTCTAGGGGGAGTGGGCCACCCCTCATACCCCAAACAAAACAATGGAAAAGTTCTGAATTTGTTTTATGTATTGTCTCAGACACTTTTTAATTGCCCAGACATCATCAGATAGCTCCTTGATAAAGTTAATGATTCTGGAAGACTTAGAACTTACTCGCCCTCTGGCATCCCCACTCCACCTCCCCCTCTGGCAGCCCCCCTTCCTAAACACCCCCCCCCAAAAAAAAACGAGATTTTTCAATTTTTTTTATTGACTCATACCCTTTGAAAGTGCCCAGAAAGCACCAAATAGCATCTTAAAATTGTAAAATTTTCTTGGGAAATAGGCACTTTTAGGCACAGACACGTTTAAAGTGCCCAAACTTCATCGAATAGCACCTTGATATTGTAAATTTTGATATAGGGGACAAACACTCGCTCCCCCTCTGGCACCCCAGCCCCACCTCCCCCTCTGGCACCCCTCCCCCCCTTTGACACCCCCAAAATTTGAAAAATTGTGATTGTTTTTCAATATTTTTATTGACTAATACACTTTAAAAGTGCCAAGAAGCACCAAATATCATCTTTAAATTGTAAAATGTTCTAGGAGAGTTAGCCATCCCTCACATCCCCCACAAAACAATAGAAAATATTCTGAATTTCATGTATTGTCTCAAACATTTTTTAAGTGCCCAGACATCTTAAAATAGCACCTTGATATGGTCAATGTTTCTGGGGGACAACCCCTTGCTCCCTTACTGGCACCCCATCCCACTTCACCCTCTCATCCTCTTTGACACCCCCAAAAGAATTTGAAAAATATTCACATTTTTCTTATTGACTCATAACGCACAGGCGTACCATGTGGTTGCAAATTCGCTCCAAATACAACCAAATTTCAAAATTTTTCTGGGGGGGAACCCCCAGACCCCCCCCCCCTGAATGTTCGGTTTTTTTATTCACTCAACTCTTATTCCCATGGTGGTGGCGTACTACTTAGAAACTTACACTTTGAAAGTGCCCAGAAAGCACCAAATAGCATCTCAAAACTGTAAAATTTTCTGGGGGGAGTGGACCACTCCTCACACCCCCTACAAAACGATTGGAACGTTTGGAAGTTGCATGCATTTGTTAATTCCAAACCAATATAGGGAGTAATTGACCCCCCCCCCCTCTATCTTACGCGATTTGATTTACGCGGCAAAAAATGAAAATTTTTATTCTCTTTACTAAGCTAAAAACCGCACCCCCCTTGGAGAAAAGTGTCTTACGGGCCTGGTTTTATGTCCATGTATTGATGTAAAAAATATGTAGACCCAGTGATAGAGGGATGAAATGGGTGACCATACACAACGTGTTCATATGGTTGAAATCTCTGAAAATTTGCATCTTGTTTTGGTTTCAATACAGCTGGGGAAGGGAACCCTGATGAAAGTCAGAACTCTGATGGTCCATCTCATAAGAGCCAGGGAATTTGAAGCCCCTGTCTATCATGTTGAATGAAGGAACTTGACCAAGAAGCGCCGTACACAGTGTACATATACATGTATTTGTTGTACAAGCAATTTAACTGTCAAGGATAATATCGCTGAGTGTTCCTTTTAACAAGCATTTGCTTTATCATCTCCTTGCAAAAATGAATCAGAAACGTCTTCAGAACACAGGAACATTTTTATACATGTAGTTCATGTTGATTTGTACGTAGGTCTGACATGTTTGGACTTTGTTAATTTTAAACTTTTTCAGGACACACAAACTGACTGCCAAGATGCTTGGAAGCGGAGAATTAGGAGTCACAACTTTCTTCTCATCCAGTATTCCAAATGATAAATGTGGAGCAAATGGACTTCCCCTCACACCAAACTCTATTAAAGTACTAGGCCAGTTTCAGCAGCTCATTACACTTAGGCATCCTAACCTGTGCAGATATGTTGACATGATCAAATGCAAACATGGTGAGTTCAGATATGTTGACATGATCAAAGGCAAACATGGTGAGTTCACATATGTTGATATGATCAAAGGCAAACATAGTGAGTTCAGATATGTTGACATGATCAAAGGCAAACATGGTGAGATCAGATATATGTTGACATGATTAAAGGCAAACATGGTTTGTTCAGATATGTTGACATGATCAAAGGCAAACATGGTGAGTTCAGATATGTTGACATGATCAAAGGCAAACATGGTGAGTTCAGATATGTTGACATGATCAAATGCAAACATGGTGAGCTCAGATATGTTGACATGGCTCAGAGTTGTGACAAGATATAGATTCGAGAATCTTTTCTATATTTTAGAATAATATTACAGGATGAATGTGCCTATATTTGTAAGAACATGTAATCAAACCTGCAGTTTCTCACACCGTAGGTCTGAAACAAGCTAAAGCCTAAAAGTTCTCAATTTTATGCATTTTATATTTCAGAAAGAGTGATAGTTGTCTTTGAACACCATAGAAAAAACCTCGCACAATTGGAGCCTCATGTAAAAACGTAAGTGGAGAAATGAGTAGAAATACACACTTGCTAACATTTTCACCCATTCATATACATTCTTTTGTAATAAATACATAGAAAAAAGACATAATGGATCGGGCCACATATATTAGTTTGTACTCTTTATTTAGAATGGTATAGCTTACTTCGTTACAAAAGTGAAGTTCATGCGAAGTAAAGTGCTGAATTGAATTATTAGCATTTTCTCTGTTTCATTGCAATAAATGACTTTTTATTCTGTTTTTTGAAACCTACTTTCAAATATGCCTACAGTCAAAACCCTTACAAAAGTTGCAATGTCAAAATCGCAATTCTCTTGTTGCAGTGATAGCAAGCTGCTCCAGGTATTTGCAGATGTTCTAGGGGGTCTGTTTTACCTCCATGGAGAAGGTCTAGTGCACAGCTACCTTGGTCCAAGCACTATACTCCTGACAGAAGAAGGAGTTTGTAAATTAACACATCATGGTGTATATGCTATGACTGGGTGTGGAGCCCATGTCACATTTCCAGTTGGGTATGTACATTGTACAAACTGTCAAACCATGAAACATCTTTATGCGACCTTGACCTTTTAGGTGACCTTTACCTTTCACGAAAGAGTTTTGACATACTCATATCTCAGAATAATACAATGGGCAATTTAACTGTATTCTGGTAAATATGATTACAATTTTTGTAGTTCTGAATAAGTATATAGCCTGTATACACTGCAGAAAAATGTAGATTTAATGTGTAGATTTGAAATAGTATTTGCATAGATATCATGTTAACCTGAACGACATTGAATATACATGTTAACAATGATACTCACATCAAAATGGATTATTTTCCAGTCAAGTAAAATACTCAGCACCTGAGATATTCTGCAAACTCCCAGGATGTGAGAGTCGCAATGGGTCAAAGGTCGACACCTGGTCCCTTGGTATCACCATGTTAGAAGCTTCTTTGGTGAGTTATCCCCCTGATAATGTCTCATATTTTACGTTATATCCATATTAAGCTCTACCTTACAACATATCGTATGTTGTATATAATTGGATTTATGGTGTATTGTTCAGAAATTATCATCATCAAACTCCAGTCTGTTTGTTTTGAAAATACATGTATGTAGCTACATTTACTTCCAATGTGTACCAAGCATTATACAACACAATCGTACTTATTCACAGAATTTATGTTATATCCTACAAACGTGCATGTTTTGTGTTCATTTCCTTACTTTTTCTGAACTACTATTCATATTTGCTTATATACATTACATTTACATATGCATGTATTTTAAATGTAATTTAAACACATTGCCACATATGCACAATGTTTTCTTTAGTCTGCCTGTAGTTCAGATGAAAATAAATTTATGAATGAGTAACATGAAAATATAAACCATATTTGGAGACACTTATAATTAGTAAAATATGTGCTTTACTTAAAGTAAAATTTGCGTAGTAAATCTGTATCAGTGGAACACTTTTAGTACTTCTGATATGTATTCTACTTGGGAGGTGTTCCACTTATAGAGGTTCATTTAATAAGTCAGTTGGTTTTGGGACTCTGAAGTGTCCCACTATCAGAGGTGTTCAATATCTAGAGGTACACTGTATTCCACTTTACATGTTTCGCTGTATATTGTTTCAGGGCATTACTCTGTGGGCATCTCTATCAGTAAAGCAGATCATTCAGAGAATTCTCAGTTTTCTAACTATAGATGTCCCTGTGATAGACCTCATCATAAGGGACCATAAATGCCCCGAAAAACTAGAGAAGATGTCCTCCTCCCTGCAGCACCTCATTACACGCTGTCTCAATGTGAACCCCAAACAAAGGTGAATATGTGAACATTAGAATATCAAATACATCTACAGTAGGTTCTAATTGGTTATCTCAATGCCAAGCAAAAGAGGAAAACTGCAGAACAACTGTATTGATTGATTCCAAAACTAAAGGAGTGTCATATTTGGAAGTAAAACTGATATAACGTCCTTCTTGAATATAAATGCAAGGGTTTTATTAGAATTCGCAACAACAGGCAAAATGTATGTGAAAATCATAATTTTAACAGTAAATAGAAACAGTTGCAAAATGCATTAAAACAATAGGGCATATTGCTAAAAAATTGCTAATATTACCTGTTGCCTGCTGCAATTTGAAGAAACTCTGCTAATCTACCTAAATCTATCATTTCAGGCCAACAGCTGAAGAACTGTTGGAAGAAGCCTGCCTCCAACCATATAGAAAAGTACATGAGATCAGAGGATTAAGTGGGTGTTGTATGTTCTCCACTCATGGTCATCATTTATGATTTCAGGCCTACAGCTGAAGAACTGTTGGAAGAAGACTGTCTCCAACCATATAGAAAAGTACATGAGGTCAGAGGATTAAGTGGCTGTTGTATGTTCTCCATTCATGGTCATCATTTATGATTTCAGGCCTACAGCTGAAGAACTGTTGGAAGAAGCCTGCCTCCAACCATATAGAAAAGTACATGAGATCAGGGGATTTAGTGGGTGTTGTATGTTCTCCACTCATGGTCATCATTCATGATTTCAGGCCAACAGCTGAAGAACTGTTGTAAGAAGCCTGCCTCTAACCATATAGAAAAGTACATGAGATCAGAGGATTAAATGGGTGTTGTATGTTCTCCACTCATGGTCATCATTTATGATTTCAGGCCTACAGCTGAAGAACTGTTGGAAGAAGCCTGCCTCCAACCATATAGAAAAGTACATGAGATCAGAGGATTAAATGACTGTTGTATGTTCTCCACTCATGGTCATCATTTATGATTTCAGGCCCACAGCTGAAAAACTGTTGGAAGAAGCCTGCCTCCAACCATATAGAAAAGTACATGAGATCAGAGGATTAAATGGTGTTGTATGTTCTCCACTGGTCATCATTTATGATTTCAGGCCTACAGCTAGAGAACTATTGGAAGAAGCCTGCCTCCAACCATATAGAAAAGTACATGAGATCAGAGGGTTAAGTGGGTGTTGTATGTTCTCCACTCATGGTCATCATTTACGATTTCAGGCCTACAGCTGAAGAACTGTTGGAAGAAGCCTGCCTCCAACCATATAGAAAAGTACATAAGATCAGAGGATTAAGTGGGTGTTGTATGTTCTCCACTCATGGTCATCATTTACGATTTCAGGCCTACAGCTGAAGAACTGTTGGAAGAAGCCTGCCTCCAACCATATAGAAAAGTACATGAGATCAGAGGGTTAAGTGGGTGTTGTATGTTCTCCACTCATGGTCATCATTTACGATTTCAGGCCTACAGCTGAAGAACTGTTGGAAGAAGCCTGCCTCCAACCATATAGAAAAGTACATAAGATCAGAGGATTAAGTGGGTGTTGTATGTTCTCCACTCATGGTCATCATTTATGATTTCAGGCCTACAGCTGAAGAACTGTTGGAAGAAGCCTGCCTCCAACCATATAGAAAAGCACATAAGATCAGGGGGATTAAGTGGGTGTTGTATGTTCTCCACTCATGGTCATCATTTATGATTTCAGGCCTACAGCTGAAGAACTGTTGGAAGAAGCCTGCCTCCAACCATATAGAAAAGTACATAAGATCAGGGGGATTAAGTGGGTGTTGTATGTTCTCCACTCATGGTCATCATTTATGATTTCAGGCCTACAGCTGAAGAACTGTTGGAAGAAGCCTGCCTCCAACCATATAGAAAAGTACATAAGATCAGGGGGATTAAGTGGGTGTTGTATGTTCTCCACTCATGGTCATCATTTATGATTTCAGGCCTACAGCTGAAGAACTGTTGGAAGAAGCCTGCCTCCAACCATATAGAAAAGTACATGAGATCAGAGGGTTAAGTGGGTGTTGTATGTTCTCCACTGGTCATCATTTATGATTTCAGGCCTACAGCTGAAGAACTGTTGGAAGAAGCCTGCCTCCAACCATATAGAAAAGTACATGAGATCAGAGGATTAAATGACTGTTGTATGTTCTCCACTCATGGTCATCATTTATGATTTCAGGCCTACAGCTGAAGAACTGTTGGAAGAAGCCTGCCTCCAACCATATAGAAAAGTACATGAGATCAGAGGATTAAATGACTGTTGTATGTTCTCCACTCATGGTCATCATTTATGATTTCAGGCCAACAGCTGAAGAACTGTTGTAAGAAGCCTGCCTCTAACCATATAGAAAAGTACATGAGATCAGAGGATTAAATGGGTGTTGTATGTTCTCCACTCATGGTCATCATTTATGATTTCAGGCCTACAGCTGAAGAACTGTTGGAAGAGGCCTGTCTCCAACCATATAGAAAAGTACATGAGATCAGAGGATTAAGTGGGTGTTGTATGTTCTCCACTGGTCATCATTTATGATTTCAGGCCTACAGCTGAAGAACTGTTGGAAGAAGCCTGCCTCCAACCATATAGAAAAGTACATGAGATCAGGGGATTAAGTGGGTGTTGTATGTTCTCCACTCATTGTCATCATTTATGATTTCAGGCCTACAGCTGAAGAACTGTTGGAAGAAGCCTGCCTCCAACCATATAGAAAACTACATGAGATCAGAGGATTAAGTGGGTGTAGTATGTTCTCTACTCATGGTCATCATTTATGATTTCAGGCCTACAGCTGAAGAACTGTTGGAAGAAGCCTGCCTCCAACCATATAGAAAAGTACATGAGATCAGAGGATTAAGTGGGTGTTGTATGTTCTCTACTGGTCTACGATGTCAGAATCTTGAACTAAGCGACTTTTCTCAAGTGGAAGATGAAGGTAATGGGTTAATTACATCCCCAATCCTCAATCTGAAGTCTAATCCGAACACCATTGGGATAAAAGCATCCGGATTAGGAGGTGTTCATATTTTGAGGTTTTTGCATCCACAAAATCTGGATTTTGAAGAAATATAAAGCAATTTTATCAAGCGGGTTTTAAGTTGTATACAACTTTACTCAATAATTGTATTCATATATTTCAGAGCTAGAACCACTTAGAGAGCTTAACATAGAGCAGGTGTATTGTATTCATATATTTCAGAGCTAGAACCACTTAGAGAGCTTGACATAGACCAAGTGTATTGTATTCATATATTTCAGAGCTAGAACCACTTAGAGAGCTTGACATAGACCAGGTGTATTACCTCTGGCAACTAGCTGGTGGAGATATAATCAGAACACTAGACAATGCTGGCAAGATCAAATCCAGGCCACCTATTACAAATTTGTACAGGTGAAGACAACATTTGTATATTGGATAATGGAACTGTCAATAAATCTGTTAAGATCCTGGTATCTAAAATTAGACTGAATTAAAATGTCAGTCTTCAATAGAGTTTGCAATAAAACTGAACTCACTCACGCATTTGCATTAAATGATACCTTTGAAATGGCTGGATTAAAGTTATATTAGCTCACTGAGATTTTATTTTACTGCATTCTCCAGTATATTCCCTTTCTAAGCAATTTACTATTCAACATTGTGAGCTTCAAATGTAGTCGTTAAAATGATGTCACGTGATACATTTGTATGTCACCACCACAAGTGGTGACATATTTTTTTAATCTCGAACTTTTTTGTGGATGTTGATTGGTGATTGGTGTTTGGCAATTGATGTTTAACAAATGTCAGGTGGTGACATTTTGCTCATTAATGTCTTATATGTTTATATTTGAATTACACATCCCATTTGTAAATTTTCAGTTTCGTATGTGATGATGGGGAAAGTTTTGGTGCTGAGAGAGATAGTTCTGTGCTGTTTGATGATCACATCTTAGTGCTTTCCCTAGACCAGTTGAAACAGGTATGTACTGAATGTGACCAGTTGAAACAGGTGTGTACTGAATGTGACCAGTTGAAACAGGTATGTACTGAATGTGACTTGTTGAAACAGGTATGTACTGAATGTGACCAGTTGAAACAGGTGTGTACTGAATGTGACCAGTTGAAACAGGTATGTACTGAATGTGACTTGTTGAAACAGGTATGTACTGAATGTGACTAGTTGAAACAGGTATGTACTGAATGTGACTAGTTGAAACAGGTATGTACTGAATGTGACTTGTTGAAACAGATATGTACTAAATGTGACTAGTTGAAACTGGTATGTACTGAATGTGACCAGTTGAAACAGGTATGTTCTGAATGTAACTTGTTGAAACAGGTATGTACTGAATGTGACTAGTTGAAACAGGTATGTACTGAATGTGACCAGTTGAAACAGGTATGTACTGAATGTGACTTGTTGAAACAGGTATGTACTGAATGTGACTTGTTGAAACAGGTATGTACTGAATGTTACTTGTTGAAACAGGTATGTACTGAATGTTACTTGTTGAAACAGGTATGTACTGAATGTGACTTGTTGAAACAGGTATGTACTGAATGTTCCTTGTTGAAACAGGTATGTACTGAATGTTACTTGTTGAAACAGGTATGTACTGAATTTGACTTGTTGAAACATGTATGTACTGAATGTGATCAGTTGAAACAGGTATGTACTGAATGTTACTTGTTGAAACAGGTATGTACTGAATGTGACCAGTTGAAACAATATGTACTGAATGTTACTTGTTGAAACATGTATATACTGAATGTGACTTGTTGAAACATGTATGTACTGAATGTGATCAGTTGAAACAGGTATGTACTGAATGTTACTTGTTGAAACAGGTATGTACTGAATGTGACTTGTTGAAACAGGTATGTACTGAATGTGACTTGTTGAAACATGTATGTACTGAATTTGACTTGTTGAAACATGTATGTACTGAATGTGACCAGTTGAAACAGGTATGAACTGAGTGTGACTAGTTGAAACAGGTATGTACTGAATGTGACTTTTTGAAACATGTATGTACTGAATGTGACTTGTTGAAACAGATATGTACTGAATGTGACTTGTTGAAACATGTATGTACTGAATGTGACTTGTTGAAACAGATATGTACTGAATGTGACTTGTTGAAACATGTATGTACTGAATGTGACCAGTTGAAACAGGTGTGTACTGAATGTGACCAGTTGAAACAGGTATGTACTGAATGTGACTTGTTGAAACAGGTATGTACTGAATGTGATCAGTTGAAACAGGTATGTACTGAATGTGACTTGTTGAAACAGGTATGTACTGAATGTGACGTGTTGACACAGGTATGTACTGAATGTGACTTGTTGAAACAGGTATGTACTGAATGTGACTTATTGAAACAGGTATGTACTGAACGTGACCAGTTGAAACAGGTATGTACTGAATGTGACTTGTTGAAACAGGTATGTACTGAATGTGACCAGTTGAAACAGATATGTACTGAATGTGACTTGTTGAAACATGTATGTACTGAATGTGACTTGTTGAAACAGATATGTACTGAATGTGACTTGTTGAAACATGTATGTACTGAATGTGACCAGTTGAAAGAAGTATGTACTGAATGTGACTTGTTGAAACATGTATGTACTGAATGTGACTTGTTGAAACAGATATGTACTGAATGATACTTGTTGAAGCATGTATGTACTGAATGTGACTTATTGAAACAGGTATGTACTGAATGTGACCAGTTGAAACAGATATGTACTGAATGTGACCAGTTGAAACAGGTATGTACTGAATGTAACTTGTTGAAGCATGTATGTACTGAATGTGACTTATTGAAGCATGTATGTACTGAATGTGACTTGATGAAACATGTATGTACTGAATGTGATCAGTTGAAACAGGTATATACTGAATGTGACCAGTTGAAACAGGTATGTACTGAATGTAACTTGTTGAAACATGTATATACTGAATGTGACTTATCGAAACAGGTATGTACTGAATATGACTTGCTGAAAAAGGTATTTACTGAATGTGACTTGTTAAAATAGGTATGTACTGAATATGACTAGTTGAAACATGTATGTACTGAATGTGTCTAGTTGAAACAGGTATGTACTGAATGATACTTGTTTAAACAGGTATGTACTGAATGTGACCAGTTGAAACAGATATATACTGAATGTGACCAGTTGAAACAGGTATGTTCTGAATGTGACCAGTTGAAACAGATATGTACTGAATGTGACCAGTTGAAACAGGTATGTATTGAATGTAACTTGTTGAAGCATGTATGTACTGAATGTGACTTATTGAAACAGGTATGTACTGAATGTGACCAGTTGAAACAGATATGTACTGAATGTGACCAGTGGAAACAGGTATGTACTGAATGTAACTTGTTGAAGCATGTATGTACTGAATGTGACTTATTGAAGCATGTATGTACTGAATGTGACTTGTTGAAACATGTACATGTATGTACTGAATGTGATCAGTTGAAACAGGTATGTACTGAATGTTACTTGTTGAAACAGGTATGTACTGAATGTGACCAGTTGAAACAGGTATGTACTGAATGTAACTTGTTGAAACTGGTATGTACTGAATGTGACTAGTTGAAACAGGTATGTACTGAATGTGACTTATTGAAACATGTATGTACTGAATGTGACTTGTTGAAACAGGTATGTACTGAATGGGACTTGTGGAAACATGTATGTACTGAATTTGACTTGTTGAAACATGTATGTACTGAATGTGACCAGTTGAAACAGATATGTACTGAATGTGACTTGTTGAAACATGTATGTACTGAATGTGACCAGTTGAAACAGGTATGTACTGAATGTGACTTGTTGAAACATATATGTACTGAATGTGACTTGTTGAAACAGATATGTACTGAATGATACTTGTTGAAGCATGTATGTACTGAATGTGACTTATTGAACCAGGTATGTACTGAATGTGACCAGTTGAAACAGATATGTACTGAATGTGACCAGTTGAAACAGGTATGTACTGAATGTGACCAGTTGAAACAGGTGTGTACTGAATGTGACCAGTTGAAACAGGTATGTACTGAATGTGACTTGTTGAAACAGGTATGTACTGAATGTGACCAGTTGAAACAGGTGTGTACTGAATGTGACCAGTTGAAACAGGTATGTACTGAATGTGACTTGTTGAAACAGGTATGTACTGAATGTGACTAGTTGAAACAGGTATGTACTGAATGTGACTAGTTGAAACAGGTATGTACTGAATGTGACTTGTTGAAACAGATATGTACTAAATGTGACTAGTTGAAACTGGTATGTACTGAATGTGACCAGTTGAAACAGGTATGTTCTGAATGTAACTTGTTGAAACAGGTATGTACTGAATGTGACTAGTTGAAATAGGTATGTACTGAATGTGACCAGTTGAAACAGGTATGTACTGAATGTGACTTGTTGAAACAGGTATGTACTGAATGTGACTTGTTGAAACAGGTATGTACTGAATGTTACTTGTTGAAACAGGTATGTACTGAATGTTACTTGTTGAAACAGGTATGTACTGAATGTGACTTGTTAAAACAGGTATGTACTGAATGTTCCTTGTTGAAACAGGTATGTACTGAATGTTACTTGTTGAAACAGGTATGTACTGAATTTGACTTGTTGAAACATGTATGTACTGAATGTGATCAGTTGAAACAGGTATGTACTGAATGTTACTTGTTGAAACAGGTATGTACTGAATGTGACCAGTTGAAACAATATGTACTGAATGTTACTTGTTGAAACATGTATATACTGAATGTGACTTGTTGAAACATGTATGTACTGAATGTGATCAGTTGAAACAGGTATGTACTGAATGTTACTTGTTGAAACAGGTATGTACTGAATGTGACTTGTTGAAACAGGTATGTACTGAATGTGACTTGTTGAAACATGTATGTACTGAATTTGACTTGTTGAAACATGTATGTACTGAATGTGACCAGTTGAAACAGGTATGAACTGAGTGTGACTAGTTGAAACAGGTATGTACTGAATGTGACTTTTTGAAACATGTATGTACTGAATGTGACTTGTTGAAACAGATATGTACTGAATGTGACTTGTTGAAACATGTATGTACTGAATGTGACTTGTTGAAACAGATATGTACTGAATGTGACTTGTTGAAACATGTATGTACTGAATGTGACCAGTTGAAACAGGTGTGTACTGAATGTGACCAGTTGAAACAGGTATGTACTGAATGTGACTTGTTGAAACAGGTATGTACTGAATGTGATCAGTTGAAACAGGTATGTACTGAATGTGACTTGTTGAAACAGGTATGTACTGAATGTGACGTGTTGACACAGGTATGTACTGAATGTGACTTGTTGAAACAGGTATGTACTGAATGTGACTTATTGAAACAGGTATGTACTGAACGTGACCAGTTGAAACAGGTATGTACTGAATGTGACTTGTTGAAACAGGTATGTACTGAATGTGACCAGTTGAAACAGATATGTACTGAATGTGACTTGTTGAAACATGTATGTACTGAATGTGACTTGTTGAAACAGATATGTACTGAATGTGACTTGTTGAAACATGTATGTACTGAATGTGACCAGTTGAAAGAAGTATGTACTGAATGTGACTTGTTGAAACATGTATGTACTGAATGTGACTTGTTGAAACAGATATGTACTGAATGATACTTGTTGAAGCATGTATGTACTGAATGTGACTTATTGAAACAGGTATGTACTGAATGTGACCAGTTGAAACAGATATGTACTGAATGTGACCAGTTGAAACAGGTATGTACTGAATGTAACTTGTTGAAGCATGTATGTACTGAATGTGACTTATTGAAGCATGTATGTACTGAATGTGACTTGATGAAACATGTATGTACTGAATGTGATCAGTTGAAACAGGTATGTACTGAATGTGACCAGTTGAAACAGGTATGTACTGAATGTAACTTGTTGAAACATGTATATACTGAATGTGACTTATCGAAACAGGTATGTACTGAATATGACTTGCTGAAAAAGGTATTTACTGAATGTGACTTGTTAAAATAGGTATGTACTGAATATGACTAGTTGAAACATGTATGTACTGAATGTGTCTAGTTGAAACAGGTATGTACTGAATGATACTTGTTGAAACAGGTATGTACTGAATGTGACCAGTTGAAACAGGTATGTACTGAATGTAACTTGTTGAAGCATGTATGTACTGAATGTGACTTATTGAAGCATGTATGTACTGAATGTGACTTGTTGAAACATGTACATGTATGTACTGAATGTGATCAGTTGAAACAGGTATGTACTGAATGTTACTTGTTGAAACAGGTATGTACTGAATGTGACCAGTTGAAACAGGTATGTACTGAATGTAACTTGTTGAAACTGGTATGTACTGAATGTGACTAGTTGAAACAGGTATGTACTGAATGTGACTTATTGAAACATGTATGTACTGAATGTGACTAGTTGAAACAGGTATGTACTGAATGTGACTTGTGGAAACATGTATGTACTGAATTTGACTTGTTGAAACATGTATGTACTGAATGTGACCAGTTGAAACAGATATGTACTGAATGTGACTTGTTGAAACATGTATGTACTGAATGTGACCAGTTGAAACAGGTATGTACTGAATGTGACTTGTTGAAACATATATGTACTGAATGTGACTTGTTGAAACAGATATGTACTGAATGATACTTGTTGAAGCATGTATGTACTGAATGTGACTTATTGAACCAGGTATGTACTGAATGTGACCAGTTGAAACAGATATGTACTGAATGTGACCAGTTGAAACAGGTATGTACTGAATGTAACTTGTTGAAGCATGTATGTACTGAATGTGACTTATTGAAGCATGTATGTACTCAATGTGACTTGATGAAACATGTATGTACTGAATGTGATCAGTTGAAACAGGTATGTACTGAATGTTACTTGTTGAAACAGGTATGTACTGAATGTGACCAGTTGAAACAGATATGTACTGAATGTGACCAGTTGAAACAGGTATGTACTGAATGTAACTTGTTGAAACATGTTTATACTGAATGTGACTTATTGAAACAGGTATGTACTGAATGTGACTTGCTGAAAAAGGTATGTACTGAATGTGACTTGTTGAAATAGGTATGTACTGAATATGACTAGTTGAAACATGTATGTACTGAATGTGTCTAGTTGAAACAGGTATGTACTGAATGATACTTGTTGAAACAGGTATGTACTGAATGTGACCAGTTGAAACAGATATATACTGAATGTGACCAGTTGAAACAGGTATGTGCTGAATGTGACCAGTTGAAACAGATATGTACTGAATGTGACCAGTTGAAACAGGTATGTACTGAATGTGACTTGTTGAAGCAAGTATGTACTGAATGTGACTTATTGAAACAGGTATGTACTGAATGTGACCAGTTGAAACAGATATGTACTGAATGTGACCAGTTGAAACAGGTATGTACTGAATGTAACTTGTTGAAGCATGTATGTACTGAATGTGACTTATTGAAGCATGTATGTACTGAATGTGACTTGTTGAAACATGTACATGTATGTACTGAATGTGATCAGTTGAAACAGGTATGTACTGAATGTTACTTGTTGAAACAGGTATGTACTGAATGTGACCAGTTGAAACAGATATGTACTGAATGTAACTTGTTGAAACTGGTATGTACTGAATGTGACTAGTTGAAACAGGTATGTACTGAATGTGACTTATTGAAACATGTATGTACTGAATGTGACTTGTTGAAAAAGGTATGTACTGAATGTGACTTGTTGAAATGGGTATGTACTGAATATGACTAGTTGAAACATGTATGTACTGAATGTGTCTAGTTGAAACTAGTATTGTCGCGATTAATCGATACATCGCGATATACATCGCCAAAGCTGGTTCTGGCGATGCATCGATGTTTGAAACAAAACATCGATGTTTTTAAAAAATTTAAATTTGATAAAAATCGCCCTTTCTTATCTTATTTTGACGCAAATTGCTTACCTTTTTTCATGTCTTATTTCATTTTCAAATGTTTTCTGATATTCTTTCGCTTTAAAACTGTTTTAGCTAGTCGAAATGAACCATTCATCTAAAAAAATTACTTTACTTTCATTTCACCGTTACTATGTTCCCGGATGTACCAGCGTACTCTTATTAATTTGTTCTGTTCGATATTTTAGTGCATTAGCGTTCGGTATTTCAGTGCACTTTTCTCGAACTTTTTCTCGATGTACATCGCGATATGCATCGATATTTACTACTGAAAATTGCCGATGCATCGATGTACAATTATGGCACATCGCGACAACACTAGTTGAAACAGGTATGTACTGAATGATACTTGTTGAAACAGGTATGTACTGAATGTGACCAGTTGAAACAGGTATTACTGAATGTGACCAGTTGAAACAGGTATGTACTGAATGTGACCAGTTGAAACAGATATGTACTGAATGATACTTGTTGAAACATGGATGTAGTTTGTACTGAATGTGACCAGTTGAAACAGGTATGTACTGAATGTGACCGGTTGAAACAGGTATGTACTGAATGTGACTTGTTGAAACATGGATGTAGTTTGTACTGAATGTGACTAGTTGAAACATGTATGTACTGAATGTGACTAGTTGAAACAGGTATGTACTGAATGTGACCAGTTGAAACAGGAATTGAAAACAGAGGTTTACCATTATTTGCAATAGTCTTTTTTGTTATCTTTGGGTATTATTCTCAATTAATTTTAACAAACTATGGTTTCAAATGTTATAAAAGCCCTGTTCAGTAAATATAATGGCCCAGAGCAGTGTCTCTGGTAAAGCAGCTAGTACACGCATATAACTTTAGATGCTGGCAATATACCAGCATCCCATCTATGTAACTAGTAACACTGGTATTGAACAATTTATTTTCTGGATTTTTAGAGGCTGTCCAACTTAGATGAAACAGCATACTACCCACTGTTAGAAGAAGAGTAAGTGGCATATTTGAATCCAAAAAATTATTAAATGAAATTCACTCAGTAAAAATAAAAGGGAGAAAATTAGAAAGTATAATCCGAAATGTAATTGTATATTGTCTTAGTTTACAAACTCTTCCTTTTGGGTATTATGTTTTTGACTAGTTATCCCAAAGAACGAAGTTTGGTAGGGATATAGTGAAGCCCTCCATCCGTCCGTCTGTCCGTCTGTCAGTCAGTCAGTCAGTCAGTCAGTCCGTCTGTCCGTCCGGAAGATGACTCAAATACTAGTAGATGGATTTTCTTCATATTTAGTGGAAAGATTTTTTTTTTTCAAGATGGCCGCCACTTTAATAATGACGGGACTTTTTCGCAAAAATCATAATTTTTTCATTCTAAACCAAAGTAATTAATATTATTGTTTGAAATTTTGGTAGTATATTCATGACATTTATCTATTTCACATATATTCTGTGTATTTCATCCTGACCACCAGGGGCCGTGTATGGGGGGGGGGGCAGGAAAACAGAAATTTTCGCAAATTTTTAGATCTTTCTGAAGTATAGCTTTAATATACTCAAATGAAAGGCAATTAAGAGTAGATTGCAGATATTGTATCTTTCTTCTGATTTGAGCCTCGTAAAATTCAAAATGGCCATCTAATGTACGATTTCGCAATAATTTTTCGAAACCAAAGTAATGAGTATAATTGATTGGAATTCGGTAATTGATATTTTGTTCGTTGGGATTTGCTACTCCGCGGAGTTGCCGTTATCTAGTTACACTACCTGTTTGTGCCAATTTGCCAGCTTGACTGATGCATCTACATGTACAGTAATTAATGTTGATGATTTCCAGGAATGATGAAAGCAATGGTGTTGGTGGTAATGGCTCCTCCAACATTGAGCTGAATGAAACCGCTACTTTACCCCTCGTTATCAAAGAGAAAGACATAGAATACCAGGTAATCGTGTTGTGAGGCATTTATGTGATACAATTGTTGAAAGTAAGATTATATTATATTATATTGTATAATTTGCTGATGGTGTAATGTTTAATTTGCCTTATGTACATATTCAGAGAATAAGACAAATGTGTGTCGATGATTTGAATAATGAATTTTGGAAAAGTTTTCTGGATCTATTTTTAGTTGTACAGTACATGTAGTTGAGTTCCTTCCTTACTTAAGCATTAGGTTTAGATTCATGTATCTCTTTCCAGTTTCACCGCATCTTGCTGTACAAGCGTCTCTTAGACGGCTATCCATACAAACGTGCCCAAATATGGAAGGAAGCGCGTGTTGATATCCCTCCCCTAGTAAGACCAATGGTTTGGGCTGCCCTTCTAGAAATTGAGGTACGAACCAAAAATATGGTTTCCTTTAGTTTTCTGTTGAAAACATATCTGAAACCTCTTAAAATGATGATATGGATGATGAACTTTTCTTTACACTGTATTGATATTTCTAGGGAGATGTGTATGGTCGCTACATTGCAATAGACAAAGACTCACCAACCCCCACTGACAGACAGGTAGGTTGTATATTCTTAGCATTCTTGCAAGGGTTGTGTCAAAATATCTATGTTTCTTCGTGAAAATAATTTGAATTAACAAAGGCATGTTCATTCAACCTTATCAAACTTTTAAGCCACATTTTATGGATGGTGTTTGGCATATGGTGTCTGGTGGTTGGCATTCTGCGATCAGTATCTGTTACAAATGGCAGGTTGTGACATTTTGCATGTTACTGCCTTGTAGTGGTTGGTGTTTGGTGGTTGGCATTCGGTGATCAGTGTCTGTAACAAATGGCAGGTGATGACATTTTGCATGTTAATGGCTTGTAGTGATTGCACGCACTACATTATTATGCCAATTAATCTGACAGAAAAGGTGAAATATACATTTCTATTACCTATACAGTACATGTATATGTACACAAAGTGACCTCCATGTTATACTCAGAAGTGAAGTGAAATATTATAATTCCTATTTTAAAAACATCACAGATTGAAGTGGATATTCCTCGCTGCCACCAGTATGATGACCTCTTGTCCTCTCCCATGGGTCACCACAAATTGAAGAGGGTTCTGAAGGCATGGGTCATGAGCCACCCAGAGTTAGTTTACTGGCAAGGCCTAGATTCACTCGCAGCTCCATTCCTTAAACTTAACTTCAACCAAGAAGGTGAGACCTGAAATATATGAGGATATGATGAATCAGTTTTGAGTTTTACATGTTCCCTTGCTCATACATGTAATATCATGTGTTCATTCAACTTACATATAATAAAGATCAACAAGACATCTTAGCTGAATTTTTTCTTGAGAATTAGAGCACAAAATGTTTGTCAATATATAATTCACAGTAACCAGCAGAGTCAATTATAACACAAATTTTACTATCCCAAATTTAAAATGGCCAACTCACTAAGCTATTTGAATAATATGCTTTTTGATAAATATACAGTACCAATATCTGAATACAGTAAAACTTGTGTATAGTGAACATTTTTTTGCCAAGAAAAAACGTTCACTGTAGGTAGGTGTTCACTAGAGAGAGGGTAATTTATACAGAAGTCAGTGGACTATGTGCGTAGGAAGGGTGTCCACTAGAGACAGGTGTTCACTAGAGAGAGGTGTTCACTAAGACAGGTTTTACTGTATACCACTTTGCACATCTTTTTTTCCAGCCTTGGCATTTGCCTGTCTTGATGCCTTTATACCAAAATATTTGAACATGTTCTTCTTAAAGGACAACTCACTTGTCATTCAAGGTAAGTTGCAGAGTAATAAAAATGTACTTGTACATTTCATAGTTCTTGTCGTTAAAGAACTCTAAATCCCATCCTAAATAAATACAAAATGTTTTCAGTTCATAAGGAAATGTAATTTATTCATTTAATAGACATGGACACAAACCTTCCATTTTATAATTGTTAAGCTTGAACAATTAATATTGAATTAATTGCATTTTTGAACTGAAGAAGGTGCAAGTATTTTTTTCAATTTAGAATTTGTCATCATGAAAAATAGGTGAATCAGTGCCAGTGCCAGAAATGACAACCATTACAATGTAGTTTTGTTCAAGAAATATATGTATACAGGGTGTTCCAAAAGTAACAGGACTGGTGCTGGCATTTTGTCAATTCTGCACCGAGTGTGTTCAAATTTTCACAAATGGTACCTTGGAGTAGTGCAACTAAAATTGTAAAGTTTCAGAAAAAATGATAAAATGCGGGTAAAGTTATGGTTACTATAGTAACGTGACATCACAATACCCGGGGCAACTTTTTCACGAAAATGTGATATCTAACATTTTTATATTACTGAAGAAAGTATCTGATTCACCTATTACAATACAACATTTCTTGTTTGTTTTATTAGTTACTTTATAGTAATGGTGTTGCTATACAACTCAGATTCAAGTATGATTTCATAATAATAATATTTATTCAATTTCCTGAAATATCATTATGTATAACAGTCTGCACAATTTACGATTGAGTTTTTGAAAAGACCCAATTTTAAGCCAATTATCCACCTTGATAAGGCGTCTGCCCGCAAGTCAGAATTAAAGACTGCTGCAGCTATAGCGGAGTTAGGTCTTGAGGTCTCAGACCATGCACTATACTCTTCTGATCATGCAATATCTAATTTTTACTTTTATTTGGAGAATGGAATGCTAATCAGCGCGGTAAGACCGTTAAAGATGAGAATGACCTTCTCTAAGTTGTCCTATCGACCCTGTGTGACATGTCATCAAATGGGTTTACTCATGTGTTTGAGTCATGGATACCGAGTGCTACTCTTGGACTGACCAAAGAGGACCCTACTTTTCAAAGTAGAGGATACATAGGAATATCAAATGATGTATTTAGCCAATGCAATTCCCACCAGTTGTTGGATTCTAACTTTGATATGGGATGTACAAAATGCTAAAGTCTCCGTAACTTTCTGCGTGGAATGTTGCCCCGGGTAGTGTGATGTCACGTTACCATAGCAACCATAACTCTACCCACGTTTCATAATTTTTGTCGAAACTGTGCAGTCTAAGTACATGGAAGTACATCATGTAAAATTTTGAAGATGATTGGTGCATATTCAACAAGATGCCAGCACCAGTCCCGTTACTTTTGGAACACCCTGTATACTGTACAAAGTTTGAAACAAATACTAGCCATGTTTATTTATAAAAAAGTTTGTTTCATAGAATTCATATTTTTTTGATTCCGAATTAATTGTAAACTTTTGAGTGTTTGTTGTTGGGCAAAGTGACCAGTAATACAAGATTTCTCAGATCATTAACTTCAATTCTGTACACTTGGAATTTGCTAACTTTCCTTTTTAATCAGCACAAAACACCACAAACATTTAAAATGCAGGAAGGTGCTTAAACAAATGAGTAATGCTGGACTTGTCATTTTAGAATACTTGGCTGTCTTTAGAAATCTGATAGCATTTCACGACCCTGCACTCAGCAACCATTTAGAGGAGATAGGCTTCATTCCAGATGTGAGTACATGTACCTTTCTACATCACATTATCATGTATCAATGTCAGCCTGAAATTAAATTTTAATTTTATGTCAACCTTTAATCAATGTTAATTTTTAGAAGATATCATTCCTGTACTTCTTTATCTTATTTCATGTACATGTGTACCTATCTACTATGAACACATTTTAACACATGTGGGTACAAAATTTAAGTCTTCTATGTTGCTTCCTACAGTATGTTAACAAAATGTATTTTGTTTCTGTTTTTTCAGTTATATGCAATCCCATGGTTTCTTACAATGTTTGCTCGTAAGTTTTCAACATTTTAAGCACTTTCACTATAGATTTATTTTACTCATATTGCTGGCCAATGCTATTTTTGAGGTTTTCTGCTGGTGACTGGCACCTTGAGATATCTGTCAGATACGATTATGACGATTATGATTTAAACTGCACTGTATGAAAGACTGTACATAAATATAACAGAATAGTTTTTGAAGTCAAATTAGAAACATAAAATAATTTTAAATGTTGATGAAAGGCTTTATGATGACTTGCTTACAATACATACTCTAAATTCATGTGTAATCCAGATCCCATGGGTGTGTAGAATACATGTGATATTTTTTGTGTCTGCTACTTTTTCAGATGTATTCCCACTTCAGAAGATATTTCACCTGTGGGACACAATGTTGCTAGGCAACTCATCTCTACCTCTATGTATTGGTGTTGCTATCCTGCATCAGTTGAGAGATACATTGCTGTCATTTGGCTTTAATGAGTGCATTCTACTTTTCTCCGATATGCCAGGTAATATTATTTCCCTGAAGGCTTTTAATTGTCTGTGCTTTAAATTGCGTACTTACATGTACAGTAAAACCTGTATATCAGAACACCTCTCTAATCCGAACACCTCTCATTGTGAACACTTCTTGGTCCGAATTTTGTTATCTGACTTACATATTAAGAAACCCTTAAAAAGTGAACAGATGTAGAAATGATAAAAATTTGTAGTTTCACAAAATTATCATTGAACATTTAAATTGTTGAAATATTTGGAATATATAGACAACTGTACATGTGTCTAAAATACGTTATATTCAGTTGGGTCATTCGTTTTTTGGATGTCTATTGTATACAATAAATTGTACATTTGACCTTTCATACTTTCAGAAATAGACATTGAGAAATGTGTCCAAGATTCCATCCGTATATTCTGCAGTACACCTCGTAGCGCCACCTTTAGGCAGTATGCCAAACAAAGCAAATCTGAGACATCAAACAAACCTTGGACATCATATTATTCCACTGACCCAAACACAATCAAGTCAGCGCTGGTGAGTGTTTTATATTCCTTTCTAATTACAAGACCCCAAAAATGTATGATGAATTTATAAATGGCCAAACATATACAGGCTTTAAAGGGGACTTAAAGTCGGACTGACAGTTGCCAAACTTATGGAGGGGAGTGTAATATATTTTCTAATGGGAGATTTTCCCTACCAGCCCACCTTTTTGTAAGTTTCTTAGTTTTTCCACTAAATTCCCTAAAAGGTACTTTGCATAACATTCAGAAACATTTTTTGAATCAGAAGATCTGGACTTCATTTTGTAAAAGTCAAACATAAAGTGTGGATACATTTGTTCTTAATTTATTTATAATGTGGTCATTGATTTATCCACGTCATGTCATATGATCTGTTGCCATAACAATAATAGAAACATGTGTTAACATCACAATGATTTACAGGACTCTGAGCCTATACCCCTGGAGGAACTGAAGGCAAATAGGTGTTCCCGTATATCTGCTGCAGATCTCATAGAGCTTGGGGAACTGGCAGGTCCAGTTGGCACCAAGAGTCCAACAAAGAAGACAAAAAATAGCAGACCTAAAATACTCATCATAGATATTCGAAGTCCAGAAGAATATCCTTTTTGAAATTAAAAGAATTATTTCTGTTGTGGCGAGCAACCATTGGAAATTTTAATAATTGTGAATATGATCAATTTCGATAATGTTCATAATGTACACACATTATATATCTAAATTAGTTAAAACCAGAAACAATTCAGCAATCGCTGGAATGCATCGGGTCTATCTAGCGTGATTACAGTATGCTCCTTAACAGTTATCATATACCAGAGGGGGACTGTACCAGGGAGTGTCAACATTCCACATACAACATCATTTTCGGTGGAGGGGACACTGAACCCCACCCCCCAGGTGAACACACTTAACGCACATAGGCTACAGGTCAAGGTCATCATTGGTAGTCAAGGAAACACATCACTTAATGTAAGTTAAGATGTTAAACAAATTAATGTTAAATCAGTTTGTCATCAAGCTCAGAATAAATTGTCATTTTTCCTGATATTTTAATTTACCTGTTTCCGGTTTCAGAAGAGAGTAAAAATCGGTTCCTAGAATTATCCATGACTAAAATTAGAAAAATGAAGTATGTATTGGGTAGTAATGTTCAAATCATGATACATTTATTACATTCAGAATAATAGAATGCATTTGAGTTATTACAGCTCATAAAAAAGATACTAGTAACTGTTCTATCAGCATGACATTCACCAAAATTAGTTGAAAATGTAGTATTATGAGAGAAATTCAGATGAGCCATTACAAATTTTAATTATTTAAATAATGATTTCTTATACTCTATTTCAGTTTGGCAACAAACTAGTTGCCCTAGGCTATAGTAAAGTGTGTGTGCTACATCGGGGAATTGAGGCCCTACGCCCAACTGGACTTCTTGTAGTGCCACCTATTGAGGCCCATACTTAACACAGGGTACATTACTACACCTACATGTACAAGCTTAAGGAGGCATGAACTAGAAGATTGACAAAACATCAGACCATTTAGCTATTCTGGATGCTAAAAGAACATTTGATTACCAATATAGTGTTGGTAAACTATAATATTGCCCTTTATAAATTGTAAAAAATGATTTTTTCCTACAAAAATGCTGTATGTATTAGTGCAATATAATACTTGATGAAGAAGAACGTGAGTAATGGCAAGTATCATATACTGTAATTCATATAAGTCCCCTATACATGTAAATATGTTGTGCATACGATATATATATAAGCGATATATATATGTATGTATGTATCAAACATATATATTATATATTGGACATGTAGAATATGTGCAATTTAAGACTTAAGCTATGAATTATGACCACACAGTATACGTACTCTAGGCAATTCCATCAGATTGCCAGGATTTAATTACTGGAGTGTATTCTTGTGTTTTCATACTGTTATTTATGTATGTGTATTTTAACCCTTGTGCAACTGAATCCTTTGTCTGAAAAGTATTCATGTATTCTATTCAAGAAATATAGACCTCACTCCCTTTGGTCGTTCGGGGTACAGAAAACGTTTGGGCCTAACACTGCTGGGTTTATTCGACGATATTACCCCCTGCTCTGGGGTCTATATTACGATTCGAACATGAAAACTCACCAAAATGTTTCGAATATTCATTATTGTCCGCCATTACTACGACCCGACGTCACACATTACACGTATTACCATGGGTATTCTTCGCGAATATACCCCGGGTGAAATGTTGACTTTGTTTACAGTTTATAGAAGGCGTGAATACAGTCATGTTCGAATTACTTGTATTTACTGTCTTTACTTTCATGCATTATATGAGTTACTGTATGTTATTGTATATTTTTATACGTGAAATCAAGTCAAATCCTGCATAAAAGTGTTCAAAAAATAATTCGAAAATACAAAAAAATCGTGCATTCGATTGATCTAATCTTAATTGTCATGCACACAAAATGAATACAATTTTATATAGCATAAAACAGTTTAATGATAATAAATTATTAATAAATAATAGTATATATGAAAAATATATAGAAACACTTGTTTATTTTACACACAGCTGAATAGTCATCGTAAACCACTTTATTATATGGATAATTGGATAAAATGTATGCTAACATGCAAATATATTACTAGCTTCTGACGGATACAAATTTCAATTTTTAATGGTGCCTGTATGGACAGATAAATATTACGAAAAACGACACTGTAGACGATGATGTTGCTTGAAGATTCTCAACTTGTGTCAAAAATGATACTCTTGCTCACAATATCAGTGATGTACAACATTCAAGGTATACGTAAAGTGATAATTTAATTAGTTTCGATTGTTACAGCTTTATTAAAACTGTTAATACTGGACGCAATGTGACAATACTGCTATGTTATTTTCTTCTCTACATGTAGCCAGAATATTTTCCCGTTTCCTATTTGAAAATCTTTATTTCTTACACAACTTAAAAAGAACGTGACTATATTATTAAATGTTAGTTTTTATGTATCTAGAACCTCAGTAGGTATGGAAACTGAATACAAGATGTGTAATCCTTTGAATGACTTCTTCAAAAACTGTAATAAACATGATAAACGACTGGCAATAACGAACTCAGCTACATCTAAAATTATAGAGACTGATGGTAGTACAGGTGGGACCTGTGGTAAAAAGGTTTGTACTCGACAAGACTTAGGAGAAATCAAAGAAATGTTACCCAACATAAGAGAAGAGGTTAACACCCAGACAAAAGCCATTGTAAATATCAAGGAGGAACTCTCCAAAATGAAGCATGAGATTTCTTCGTATCAAGCTGAAATGAAACGCGACATTTCATCTTTGAAAGCTGATGTGAGAAGTGACATTTTAGCATTGAAGAATGCTATTCTTAAGCCAGGTGAGTACATATTAAATAACTGGAAAAAAAATCAAAATTGTTTTATAGTCTTCCCGATTTCAGTCATGAATTACGTCAATTTCGTGTGCAAACTTTGGGTAGACGTTGTTATTCCCGGACGCCCAAACGTGTCAGGAACACATAGATACTTCAATGATCTTGATTGGACATCAGGTTGCACAGAAATCTTAATTCTACTGAGTGGTTTCACGAAAAAATAAAAAAGCTATACGCCTCAATAATACATTGATGAGACCAAAGGCAGCCTTCCTCTACAATAAGACAATGGTTCATCGGTCTGAAGATTTTGCAATTTTTTTTGAGGAGCGACAGCTAATATTTCTGTTTATCCTATGCCAAGTAGAGTTTTAGGGAGATAAGTTGGTAAGATATATCCCGTATCCTGATTTTGAGGTTTCCATATCCAGAGCCTCCATATCTCCCGCCATATCTCCCGCTTCGGTGCATATCTTCCCGCTTCGGTAATTGCATATCTTCCCGCTTCCGGTAAGTAGTAGAAATGTAATAAAATGACTTAGCATATGAATGATTTGTTTATTTTTACACCTTGTATTGTTGAAATGGCCATATGCCCCTGAAAACTCTACTTGGTATAGGATAAAGCAGTTATGTACGGTCGGTTTGGATATTGAGTTCATCCCTCGTGAGATATGCACATCTACCTTCGGTCCCTACGATCCCTCAGGTAGATATGCACATCTCCCTCTGTATAAACCCCATATCCAAAACCTCCCAGTACATAACCCTTATTTATCCTATGACAGTATAATATCGGTAACCTGGTAACGTACATGTATCTGTATTATCGTTATAAGATTATCGAATATCACGTGAAGATATATTTCATATAACAACGGGATATACATGTAGAATTGACAATATTATATATTATCGTATGATCTGTAAAATGAAGCCTTCTGATTGGTCAGTTCTTGTGCTGTACCAATCTGTATTGCTACTGAGATTGTCCCCATTGGTCAAATATTGGTACGGAGGAGACATTTTCAGTAGTGCTCAATACACGGGATCACACGATAAAAACGTTATACAGGGTGGGCCAAAAAACGCCACTTTTTTCAAGACACTACAACTTTTTTATTTTCCAACCTTCATAACCCAATTTTTGCAGTTATATAGTACCAAGGGTTCTTAGTAATAATATAATGTAACAAGTCATTCAACCTGAATTATATTTGATATGAAAGAGGATCGGTTCAATTGGTCCGCCACCCTATTTGATGATATATTTTAGTTTTAGTCGCCTTGCTGATATAGCAGTATCAATGAAATGTTAGCTAAGTTTTTTTCAACCTGTCTTAATTGCCAGCTTTAGTTGAGCAATTTTCTAGATTGGGTGCCTTCATACAATCTCCTGGAGACCTTCCCATACCCTATACTCACTTGGGTTTGCAACAGGGCTATTAGCTTGGCGATCATCAGGCCGTATCAGTTCAGGAACATTTTGCAAATTATGCTAATTTCTCATGGCACACCACATATTTAAGTGAGACGCTGGTGACATATTTTATTCAAGTAAAAGTGTATAATCCATGATCCATGACTAGATAACAACCTCAAGTTTCATTTGGTATGCAAATTGTGATTTTGTATCAAAAATTAAAAAGTTTTTTTTTGCCCACCCTGTAGAATGATTTGAAGTGCAATACAGGATATAGGCCTATGCTGCTCTCGATATTCTGTATTGGCACTCGACTTCGTCTCGTTCCAGTACGGAATTTCTTGAGCAGAATATATCCTATAAGTTATTGCAAAATCATTCAATAACTTATAGAATTGAAATGACAATCTAGCAATGAATTAGCTAGAATCTCCGTAGTTATATAGAGGATTTCCTATGATTATGAGGGGCACCATTTTAATCCTTGAGATTTGCGAGAGATTGTCGATATCTATGAGTGAATGAAATGATATCCAGGGAATTTATTTTTATCAAATTTACTCAAAATGAAGAGGTTGGATACGATTTTAAGTAGACCATATCAAAATTATCTTGTTTTATTATGCCTATACATATTTAATATTAATAGAGTAAATCAATTTATAGGTCTCAACTGTTTACCGTTCTATTTCAGCCCATTATATCGGATGTTTTGCAGATAGCCTTTCGTCGCGTGATTTACCAAACGGGGCGGGGACTGGAGGTTTCCCCCACATTGATGCGATGACCATTGCTAAATGCAACAATGTTTGTCGCAGCCAGGGTGGGTCGAGGTTCTCTTCACATTATCAAGGGGGGGGGGGCGAACTCGCCGACCCCCCTCGACTACAGGCCTGCATTTAATGTTCCCTTTCACTGACACAGCTTAATTCATTTTATAAAGGCAAAATTCATTTTCATATTCAGTTCGGATGCAATAATTATCGCCCTTTTTTCATTTCATTTCACTAGGTTTTAAATATGCTGGGTCCCAATTTGGAGAGCAGTGTTTTTGTGGCAATGACTTTGGAAGTCAAGGGAAAGTGGCCGATAGCGAATGTAACGTCAAGTGTCAAGGGAATAGTGAGGAAGTGTGTGGTGGGGGCTTTAGGAACAGCATACACTTGGTTCGATACTTCTGATGACGCCACACTTTATTTGAATTACACCTGGCACAATGTTACGTTGAGAAATACATTACTTTAATGAAATAAAATGTTTAGGCAACTTATTCGTAGTTGACAAAACAAAATCTTGAGTAATGTTTTCACAATATTGAGAAAAACTAAGTGGTGGTATTTGAAAAACAGGGTAATTAAAATCAGCCAGTCTTCATGATCACTTTTAATATATCTTGATATACAAATAGTGACTGTCATAAGGGAAATAGTACAAAATATTTTTCCAGTTGGAATATCCTGTCCATAGACATGTGAGTGGACCGGATATTCCAAGGGGAAATTTTTACACTATTTCCCGAAAATGTGGCAGTCACTATTTGTTTTATTATAAACCCCATACATACTGTGTAAACAAAAACAAATTATTTTAATTTCAACATTTAATGCTAATATGTTAATTCTTATTGGCATTTATAAAGGCATTTTGCCATTCAACTCCTAGAATCCCAGCTATCAGGGAACATAAAACGTACTAATGACTGATTACATGACCTAACTGGTGATACGTATTTTTCATCTTCCCTGTTAGCAGGGATTACAGGGAAAAAAATTACAATTGAAAGGGGCATTCTCAGATATACAAAATCAGCAATTAAAGGACACGATTATAGACATTAAGAAAAAGTATATGGAAAATACTTCTACTCGTATAGTAAACTCAAATGGGACTAATGTCGTGAAGATCTGACTGACAAATACTATTGAAATGCCAGACCCATTAACCTTACTTCTGGGACACCCTGTACATCTAACCTTGACTTCGGAAGTGTTGGCAGCCATGAGCTAACAACTGAATATTGGAAAATATGTCATACGTGAGTCTATTAAATTCTTAGATTCATGGTTGGGAACTTCATCCATTTTACCAAATTATATGTAGTCAGGTAATCGTAGTTACTTTAGTGATATTTAAACATCTGCTAGTTTCACGTTGTTTTATATTTTAATCTATACAGTATGTTATTCCTTATCTCAGTTGCAAAATATTTCACTGCCCTAATTATACACCCCGGGTTATACACACCTTACATCATATTCTGGTGTTTTGTATAGTGTAGGGTCGTCTTCGTGGATCAATTTGATCGATCGTGATCAATTGTCATATGCCTATCGTTATGTTGTCATTCGCTGCAATTTGTAGGAGGTCTAGAACCGATCTGTATATACGAACAATCCCAATGTTTCCAGTCTCAAATGATGTTACCTCTGGAAACCATTTATTTCTGTATCACTTTGATCACTAACATCATACTTTTTCCGGACACCATGCATTACACAATCGTCTTTGCTTCACAGCTTTATACAAAACTGATATGAAACATCTTTGTCAATTTATCTAATTAATGAATTTTGAACATAAACATCAAAAATCCATAAAATCAATTGTTGACAGTACAGTTTATGCGCGAATATGTTGAAGGGGGTGGATCTGAACAAAACTAGTTTGAATACCGAAAGGCTTTTGGTAGCATCTTGCTTTCAGTAATGGACGGTTTGCTAGTGATTTTGTCATTATTTCTGGCTGTTACGGGGGCCACAAGGGTGTCATATGAAGGGTAAGTAGCAAGAGCCAAAGATCGGGGCAACTACTCAGTGAATTGAGATATTCTTGATCAATTGTTCACACCTTCAAGGCTTGTTATAGAACCAGGAAAACGAAAACGATTTCTGGATTTTGAGAACCTGCTATCGGAGAATAATAGTTAACGATCGCGAGGAAAGAAATGATACTGCGAAAGGGATTGCACAATCACATTGCGGTTATTTCTGATTATTACGACGGTATCATCGACTGATTTCTTTTTGAACTATTGTGACTTACTCCACAAGCCCCTTTGTTGATAATAGCCCTTTTAAATAAGACCTGTCGTATTTTGCAATGACAATTGCAAACTAATTGGGGTTTATGAGCCAGATTCATCGTTTTTCAGGTCACATGTAGCAATATCCAGCCTGCAATATCACATAACAAAAATAGGAATGGCTAATTACCGATTTGGAAAATTATTTGGAAACATTGTAAAGTTATCTACTATCAAGACGTAATGGACCTGACCAATGCATCCCGGTTTCTTTGGTTTTTAAATAATGGCGGGGTTTCTAAGTTAGCTTTTGGTGCTTTTCAATTTCTTGCTCTTCAATTTTGGTTATGCACCTATTTATTAATATGCTATTAGTATCAATGTATAATTGTCAGTTATGTTACCAGTTTTACTTTAATTGTCAGCTATCGAGTTTTGGAGGTTTTTCCCACAGAAGATGCTACAGTTCATTTCCTTCACGATCTCTATGAAGAGGAGTACCTAAATGTAAGTTACAAAATGTTCTAATTCATGTGTCTAAACTCTTCAACTTATGTAATCATACTATTGAACGTAATCATACTATAGAACGTAAACAGGCGTTCTCACGCTATCCAAATGGCACAGGGGTGCCAAACTTTTGGCGGAAGTGTTCATAATTGTGGAGTCGGATGACATCGACAGTACCAACACAGAGAGAAGACACCGAAAAAACAATGCTGCTGTGTCTGTTTTCGTACAACCCCCTCAATAGGTTTAGTAATGTGTAAGAATTGTATCATTTGGAGATTGAATTTATAGTTCAAGTACACTCCTTGGATGTTTTTCAGATTGACTTTTGGTCTGAACCACGTGGGGTGTTCTCTCCTATTATCTTCCATGTGAATCCAATACGTTATGACTGGGTCACAGCACAATTAGACGCAGAGGGAATTAAATATACAATCATCGTGGAGAATCTTCAGAGGTACATGTTGTATACATAAAAAAACGTTAATTTAGTCTTTCTTCTGCTCGAAAGAGTACATGGTGTGATGTGCGTTTTTGGTGTGCTAAATTCCATCTTACTAAACGTACAAGGTCATTTGTAATAGGCCAATCTTAACAAATGTCAAGGTCATATGTGATAAATAGTATGTTATATTTCAATCTTACCAGCGTCTAATGCAATGTGTTCTCTCATGTGCTATAGCATGATTGACGCCGAGACCGAGAGATTGTCATCACGTGACCCCACCACACAGGCAATTGAGGACTTCGCTGATTATCACAGATTTGATGAGGTATTTGCGATCCAATTGTATGGCCGATTGGTCATACGTATAGGTTTCCGTTTCGATTTTATATGCATTGCTTAAAAAGTCTCCATTGTCTTTTGCTTTAATCATACCGGGAAATTCCGAATGATGATTTGGGTTGCTCGGTTTCAACTCACGCAGGAACAGCACTGCTAATCTTATTCTTATTATTTACCTGAATGTTCTCTCATTTCTATTGTAATTTAGATGATGTCTTGGATAACCAACATTACGACGTCCAGGTGCGGCGGTAACAGATGTAGTCTCTTTAATGTTGGTACTTCCTTTGAAGGTCGTAGCATCCGTGGTATAAAGGTGAGCTTTATTGCAGATATAGCCTCTTTAATGTTTGGTATTTCCTTTGAGAGTTGTAGCATCCGTGGAATAAAGGTGGGCTTTATTGCAGATGTAACCTCTTTAATGTTGGTAATTCCTTTGAAGGTCGTAGCATTCGTGGAGTAAAGGTGAGCTTTATTGCAGATGTAGCCTCTTTAATGTTGGTAATTCCTTTGAAGGTCGTAGCATTCGTGGAGTAAAGGTGAGTTTTATTGCAGATGTAGCCTCTTTTATGTTGGCACTTCCTTTGAAGGTCGTAGCATTCTTGGAGTAAAGGTGAGCTTTATTGCAGATATAGCTATAGCCTCTTTAATGTTGGTAATTCCTTTGAAGGTCGTCGCATCCGAGGAATAAAGGTGAGCTTTATTGCAGATGTAGTCTCTTTAATGTTGGTAATTCCTTTGAAGGCCGTAGCATCCGTGGAATAATGGTGAGATTGATTACAAATGAACATAGCATAATTATGTAATGTGTAAAGTCCTTTGGAATCTAATCATAACCAGTACAGAAAAAGACATGCGCGACCAGGGAATGGATTGGAATTGACGGTTGTGTTACTCCGTGATTCAAATTCAACTTCAATCTCTTTGGTTTTGACTTGTTAAGTGCATTTCAGATCGGAACACCTGGTACAGACAAACGAGCTGTATGGGTGGATTGTGGAATACACGCCAGAGAATGGATCGCTCCCGCAACCTGCACCTACTTTATATGGAGGGTGAGCGACACTTTACAACGATCCAGTGACCTCAAAATACGTCACGGGTTGTAAAATAAAAATGACGTTGGACTTTCAATTATAGACAAGTTATATTCGGAAATCAGCTCTTAAATAATCAAGTACTAAAACACTCCTGAATACATATACAGGGTGGGCCAAAAAAACGCCACTTTTTTCAAAATGCTATAACTTTTCTAATTTTTGATACAAAATCATAATTTGCATACCAAATGAAACTTGAGGTTGTTATCTAGCCATGGATCATGAATTATACACTTTTACTTGAATACAATATGTCACCAGCGTCTCACTTAAACATGTGGTGTGCAATGAGAAATAAGCTTAATTTGCAAAATGTTCCTTAACTGATACGGCCTGATGACCGCCAATGTAATAGCCCTGATGCAAACCCCAGTGAGTATAGTGTATGGGGAGGTCTCCAGGAGAGGGTATGAAGGCACCCAATCTAAAAAATTGCTCAACTAAAGCTGGCAATTGAGACATATTGAAAAAATGAGCTTACATTTCATTGATACTGCTATATCAACAAGGCGACTAAAACTAAAATCTATCATCAAATCGGATGGCGGACAAATTGAACTCCTCTTTTAGATCAAATATAATCCAAGTTGAAGGACTTGTTACATTATATTATTACTAAGAACCCTTGGCACTATATAACTGCAAATTATGGGGTATGTAGGTTGGAAAATAAAAAAGTTATAGCATCTTGAAAAAAAGTGGCGTTATTTTTGGCCCACCCTGTATATATAGATTAAGGCCCCAAAGCATCTAAAATCATGGACAACTTTAATATACTGTCGGACCTGGCCAAATTCTGGTAGTGTGGTTGTGGTCGGGTCTCGAACAATTTATTTATTATGGGATTCTCACTGGTCTTATGTGGGCGCAGACCTGGTTTGGTGGTACTGCTTTCACTGAAAGGGGAGGTTGTTACACATATGCATTTATTAACACTATAAATTTGAAAACAAATAAAACACAAATGTCCATGTAATAATCATATGTAAGTGGTGTTGTTGCTCTTCTCTCGTTGTACTCTACTCGGCTATACTCTCTATTCTGTTTTACTCTTTACTCTATAATGCTCTGCTTACTCTTTATTCCGCTCTGCTCTGCTTTACTCTATTCTGCTCCGGTTACTCTTGATTCCGCTCTGCTCTGCTTTACTCTATTCCGTTCTGGTTACTCTTTATTCCGCTCTGCTCTGTTTACTCTCTCTATTCTGCTCTGGTTACTCTTTATTCCGCTCTGCTCTGCTTACTCTATATTCTGCTCTTGTTATTCTTTACTCCTTTCCGTTCTGCTCTGCTTATTCTTTACTCCACTCTGCTCTGGTTCACTCTGCTCTGTTCTGGTTACTCTTTATTCTGCTCTGGTTACTCTTTACTCCTTTCTGTTCTGATCTGCTTACTCTTTACTCCTCTCTGCTCTGATTTACTCTGTTCTGCTCAGGTTACTCTTTACTCCTTTCTGTTCTGGTCTGCTTACTTTTTACTCCTTTCTGGTCTGCTCTGCTTACTCTTTACTCATTTCTGTTCTGCACTGCTTACTCTTTACTCCTCTCTGCTCTGGTTCACTCTGCTCTGTTCTGGTTACTCTGTTCTGCTCTGGTTACTCTTTATTCTGCTCTGGTTACTCTTTACTCCTCTCTGCTCTGATTTACTCTGTTCTGCTCAGGTTACTCTTTACTCCTTTCTGTTCTGCTCTGCTTACTCTTTACTCCTTTCTGTTCTGCTCTGCTTACTCTTTACTTCTCTCTGCTCTGGTTCACTCTGCTCTGTTCTGGTTACTCTGTTCTGCTCTGATTACTCTTCTCTCTGTACTGCTCTGCTTATTCTTTACTCTGTACTTCTCTGCTTACTCTTTAATCTGCTCTGCTTTACTCTGCTCTGCTCTGCTTTACTCTGCACTGCTCTGCTTACTCTTTAATCTGCTCTGCTTACTCTTTAATCTGCTCTGCTTACTCTTTAATCTGCTCTGCTCTGCTTACTCTTTACTCTGCACTGCCCTGCTCTGGATTACTCTTCTTCAGCCCAGGTTACTCTTCTTTACTCCGGATTACTCCTCTTTACTCCTCTTGGCGAATAAATTGGGAATATCGATCAAATTCTGAGATTAGACCCAACTATCAGCCCTTAAAGGAAATAAAGCGATCACTTCAGTTGGAATCCCTGTTGTTCCAAAAACACTCCTCCAGACGAGTAATTCGGGAATATCAATCAAATTCTGAGATTAGACCCAAATTACCAGTCACATGGAAATAAATCTGCTACTCCACAAATACACTTGCTCTTGGTGAGACTCAAGAATGTCAATCAAATTCTGAGATTAGACTTGAGCTACACGTAAACCGGAAATTATACAAGATGGCGGACTTGCTGGGGATTGTGGGAAAATGATGATGCAATCACAAAATAGCCACGCTGACTAGCAAAGAATCATGAAGTAAAACCTTCTAATTCTATCTCAGAATGAATTATAAAATCAAATCAACACTCACAAATTCTCCAAAATGTCTCCTAGGCGCCTCTAGACTGCAACTTCTCTGGCAGTACTCCCTGGTCACCAATAACACATCGGGCCAAATTGCTCTATATCCACTTGTTACTGTCGATTCCCGCCACAAAACAGTGAAAATACTCCATAAACTCCCAATATCCACGATTAAACTCCAATATTCCTCACATCCACTAATACTCCATCATAAAAACACCTTTCCGCCATCAACATCATGAGCCAGCTTCTAAAAATGACACTACAGGTCCTTACACTTCAACTTCTTGAGCTAGACTAACATCAGGTGATCTGATCATGTCCTATCTCAACCCACTAATGAGATGCATAAGGAAGCTATCTGATTGGCTACAGCTGGACTAAGCTGGTGTGTTTACTCCATTTGGTGGTGCATTGTGGGAAATCACCATAGCAATGTCAATCAAGTAGCCTCTAATTCCTGGTGACTCATAACCATGTGGCATATTTCTCCTATGGGTTGATTCTAGAGCAGGGGTTCCCGCACAAGCAAAGAGTAAGGTTACTCTTACTCCTACTCCCAACTTACTCATTGAGTTTATGGTTACTCCTAGGTTACTCCTTAACTTGCTCACAGTACATGAAGTTTTACTGACATAAAAATAAACTTCTTACTTCACCAAATATTATTACATTTTTATTTAAAATAAAAAAGTGGGGAATTTCTAAATTTCCCACAATACTATTCCTTTTCAGAAAATGTTTTTCACCATATTTAATTTTCAGTTTCTACATGTATTCATTTTCAGATATAAAATCAGGAGTGTTAAGGGAAATATTGGCATGCATTTTGAAAATATTCCTTCCGACATTTTGATTTTTTAATGGTATTGATTTGTAATTTTTTGAATTTTCTTAGTTGAGCCAAGACTATGATTCTGACGCAGAGACGAGGCGATTGGTGGATACGTACGACTGGTATATACAGCCAGTCGTCAACCCTGATGGATATGAATATACCTGGGACGTGGTAGGTGCATCAGCTTAAACAATCACTGGGAATTTATAGCTTAGATTTTGTACATTGATTGATGTTTCCTTAATAACTATAGAATACACTTTTATGCAAATGAGTTTTTTCTTTTCACAAGAACGTTTGAAAACGCCTAATTAGGAAACCGAATTCTCGTATTAGCTCATAGAAGATACGATTTTGCATGATATTTTGGTGATGGACTACACTTCAATCTTTTATTTATTATGTAGGATAGGCTATGGAGAAAAACCAGAAGTAATTATAATGACATCCTTGGATGTATTGGAACGGATGGCAACAGAAACTACGATTCATTTTGGGGAAGTAAGTTAGAAACATAACGTTACACAACAATCGGTATAAACATCCCTTTTATATGAGCAAATAGTTTCACTTCTACGGTCTGTTATACCAAGACTGTAAGATATAAAGTGGGCATATTTACTTTATCGTCGCTAGGTGATCTTGGAGGGGCTTCTAATGACCCGTGTTCGAACACTTATCACGGCCCTTCAGTGTTTTCAGAGCCAGAGTGTGCGGCACAACGAGACTTTATGACACCTTTAAGGGTAATGAACTCCCTTACTACACTTTTCTATTTCATTGTTGTGTATACAAGCTTGTAACTGGTGAAATAATATGTAATAACGAGACTTTATGACACCTTTAAGGGTAATGAACTTCCTTACTACACTTTTCTATTTCATTGTTGTGTATATAAGCTTGTAACTGGTGAAATAATATGTAATAACGAGACTTTATGACACCTTTAAGGGTAATGAACTTCCTTACTACACTTTTTTATTTCATTGTTGTGTATATAAGCTTGTAAATGATGAAATAATGTGTGCGAGTGTAAACGCAAGTGGTGCAAGGATAAGATACAAAGCTTATACTTTTACAGGATAGTTTCATAGCCTTATGGACGATGCATTCACGGGGCCAATGGATGCTTCACCCATGGGGGAACTACGATATCCCAGAGAATGAAGCAGAGTTGGTAAGACAATATATTATCAGGGTGCACATATGTCCCGTCATCTGCTACAACTAAAACCTTAGTAGATGGTACCTAGCGTAATATAACCACTGATTGGTCACTGGCTGGACCTATTGCAATTATATGTTAGCAAATTATTTACTTCGTCCAGGATTGAGAGTATCGGTTTAGGAATGACATAAATATAATTGCCTCACTCTACAAGTAATGTGGCCCAAATTGCAAAGGGTATTCACGAACAAATCCAGTATGACATACCAATTTTGGATATTAGTTGGTATTTAATCAATGCCAAATATGGACCTGTGGAAGAGACAGTGTCAAGAACCCCGGGGTATTCGTGAAGTTATGATTTCAACCAAATGTGTTTAGGATCAAGTTGGACAAGCTATTGTTGATGCCATATTTGAGGTACATGGGGTGACCTACATTCACGGCCAATCTGCTGTTCTTTTGTGTAAGTCAATTAAACATTACTTGATTGAATAATCCAAATGAAGCATGATTTCATAAGTTACAGGGTGTCCCAGAAGTAATGATAATTATGCTCTCAAATTTTTATTTGATATGGAAACAATATGAAATTCACACAAATTAAAGATCAAGATGTTAGCTTCATTTTACTACATTACATTTATTACTTTACACCAGAGGGGGAGAAACACCAGGGTTCAAAGATGACATACGCTTATAATGTAAATCTGTATTGAGATGACATCGTCGCTGATTGGTCAAAAGTCGGCAAACAAATGACGTCATCAATGGCGGTTTCAAAATTTTCGAAATACGCTTCGAATAATATTATGTTCATTCCTGGCGTGTTAACCAATATCATAGCTTGTTATTTCACATCAAGATAAAGAAAGGTGTATGGAATATGCCTCTATCAATTAAAACCTCCCATCGTATGTAGTATTTGATAACTAGCCGATGAAAATTCGAACGAACGAAGGTGGTAAGCAAGAGAGGTAATTATGTCTGTCATCTTTAAACTCTGGGGCTTCCCCTCCTCTTACTTTACACAAATATATTCAATGTATAGTTGCCATAGCAACATGTACGCACGTTCTGCGGAGCAGCTGTGTGTTTTCATACATTTTTGAAAAACATTTCATGTTCATATGTTTCCCTGCTGTTCACATCACTACTGTAATGCTGCTACTTCATTCCTGATATTCCTATTAAGAGCATTGTACATTGTTGATTCACTTATCCACATACTGTCCTTTGCTGGAGACAATTTGTCTGTGCCTTTCCAGCCAGGATTGGAAGACATGATCAAAACCACTGTTGGACATATCCTGCAGAGCCAACTGAACCGAGTGGCGCAATTGTGCCTCTTTATGCCACCTATACACAGTGGGGTTGGACAGTCTTCTCTCACCATATGCTTGTTTAAACTCCTTTATAGTGTCACTGGGTTTACCCCCTGTCTTCTGAAGGAATTTTATGACTGCTCTCTGCTCTAATTTTTCATCTTTGCTCAACGTTGGTGGCATAATGTACACCTCCCTGGAAATTCCTAGGTTGTGTTCCTAAAAGTTTTCCTTTTGTGAAACTCAATATGACATCATCATTGTGTGATTTCATAATATCAGATTAAAGTGATAATCCTGTCACAATGAGATAAATTACATATTATTAAACCACCATGACATCATGCAACTGTATACAATTACCATAACAATGATTTAAAAGCTTGAAACATGATCACAGAATAACTGCTTTTCTAAACTAAGTTTGAACATTTAATATATACGGAAACTGCTCCGCAGAACGCGCATACATGTTGCTATGGCAACTATACATGGAATATTTTTGTATAAATTCATAAATGTAATATAGCAAAATGAAACTTTAATTTGTATGAATTTCATATTGTTTCCTATAAAAATTTAAGAGCATAATTATCATTACTTCTGGGACACCCTGTATGTTACAATAAATAGAAATGGAAACAAAGGCGCTTAGTAGATACAGCAACATCACCCGTTATACTATAGTAACGAGATATACTAGTAACGAGAATAAAGTTTGAACTTGATTACATTTCGTTTTAATAGCTAAACTGCTTTCAGTAAATCTGTGTGTTTACAATGTTCATTCATAGACCCAACCCAGGGATCCTCGAACGACTGGGCCTATGCCCCAAGAGGGCACGAAGGTGGTGACGGACTTGGCATCGAGTATGCCTACACGCCAGAACTGCGCCCTGATCCCAATGGCGAAGATGCCTGGTTATTGCCTCCAGAGCAGATCAGACCGGTGGGAGAGGAGTGCTGGGCTGGACTGAAGGCAATGGTGCGAGAGATCGAATCAATTGGACTCCCTCCATAATGTCAAACTAATTATAGTCAGTAAACAAAGATTGTTGAATACCTTTTATGATTCAAATAGTCTGTTTTCTGCATTTTATTTACATATAAAATAAAATATGATGAATGTATTTTTAATGTTCATAAAAGTATTATTGGAACAAAATATACATGATGAAATAAACAAACGATTTATTCCAAGGTGTACTTTCAACACAACTTAAAGAATGATAAGACGAAGACAGTTCCCCTATTTATTGTTACCTTGACATGGCGTGACGTTAAAGTAACTAGTTGGGGAACAATCAAATTAAATTTTGATGATTTTTTGCATGATTTTCTATGATCGATTGTTGTGAAAAATGTCGGGAATCTCATATTTCTACATAAGTTTATAAATTGAGCATATAACGAGAGTCGACAAGGAGAAAGACTTTAAAAGAGTTCTAAAAGAAATGTTGCATCTTGGATTGAAGGTATGAAGTTGAAAATCAAACTGGTAAACTAGTATGGAAATGTTGCGCAACCTGAAAAACTTCAATTTTCGATACACTTGAACGGTTATTTAACCCAATTGTGAATGGTGACTTAAAATGAGAATAATGCGCCACCCGTGCTTACATGGTTAATAATATGTCTCTTTATATCCATGTTGTACTTTATCGTTGTACTGGTTGTCATGGTGATATATATGTGCTGTTCTCGATGTCCTCGAACGTGCTTTATTTTTGGACTGCGTGAGACGCATTGCTATGGCGACAGCTGCTACAGCTAACAACAATAGGAGGACACCCAGCACACTGACTGCTATGATCAACGCTGTCATATCAAAGTTTGTCCCATTCGCTGCAATATATAAACAGGCAAAATATCGCGGGAATTATTTATCAATTCTTCACTATTTTCGTATCTAGACTGAGAGTACACAATATTGGAAGGAAATATCTAAAAAGCTTTAAAATTGAAGGAATGAATACATTTTAAACACAACAATACATTTAGTAAATTATCATATATGAAATTCTAGTTCTCATGGAGTATGCGCTAACGAGGTGAAAACTAAAGAGAATTACGTCAAACCACAGATCGGAAACGGAACATAAAATTATGCTAAGTGTAAAATATCAATTGTTTCTTAGTCACGTCGGTTTTTATGAAATTTAAATTTTTTAGTGCTTGCAAACTAAACGCAGTAGTACTCACAGGCTGGTATCGAAAGATTTGTCCGCTGTGACGGAGCATGCTATTTTTCATAAAAACACTAAGAATGCTTCACGATTTATTTTTTAACTCATATGTTTCGTTATATCAAAGATAATTACTTGCTCCATGCAATTAATATATCATTTGCGTGTAACCTTCACTTCTGTTTGAAGTCCAATAACGCTAGGAGTAAAATCTATTGAAAACGGCGCCAGAGTATCAAACTCTAAAATGTACCATTTCTTTTTTAACTTTTTAATGGCATGATGTAGTGTAGTGACACGATAATATTAACATATGTTTTCAGCATAACTCTGAATGTATTAATGAGATATTAATGCATTGGGTCTTTTTAATTTTTTTATAAAAAATAATATTAATATTTTTTGTCCGCTGTGACGGAGCATTTTCACAGTTCACATTTGCAACTGCTCCGTCACAGCGGACAAAAAAATTAAACATTATTTTTTATAAAAGAATTAAAAAGACCAAATACATCAACATCTCATTTATACCTTCGTAGTTATGCTGAAACCATGTGTAAATATTATCGTGTCACTATATCGTGCCATTAGAAAGTTAAACAAGAAATGGTACATTTTGAAGTATGATACTCCGGCGCCATTTTCAATAGCTTTTCTTCCCAGCTTAATTGGACTTCAAACAGAAGTGAAAGTTACCCGCAAATGATATACCCATTGCATGGAGTAAGTAATTTTGTATTGTATAACGAAACATATGAGTTAAAAAATAAATCGTGAAGTATTCTTAGTGTTTTTATGAAAAATAGCATGCTCCGTCACAGCGGACAAATATTTCGATACCAGCCTGTGGTACTGCAAGTTAATAGAGTATCTTTTTACCTGCGCTTTTCTCAGTTTCATCAACGATTACGGTTGCAGAAAGCCCAACTTCACCCGCAGAATCAGCTGCTCGTTTGGATCTGTGTTGTTCATTGACATTGCGCAACTTTGCCGACTCGACCCTCCTTCTTTTTCTCTTGCTTGGACAGTTATCCTAAACGATTGATAATCGCTAAATCAGTTGTAGAGATATCAACGAAGATTTATGTGACGAGTATTTTGCTTGTTACAATGATAATGATATAGACTACAAGAGTGAAGAGGAAACTAATTTGACGAAGACTATTTTTACATATTTGTTCATTCTATTTTGGATAAATTATCAAAGACGGTTCTACCGTCTTAAGTAAATCTTAAATGTGGAATGATATCATGAACATGTTAATACTAAACCATGCCTAAACTCATACCCCATCGCACTCGCCATCTATTCTGCAAATTGTGACAGCACACTCAAATATGACCACGTGGTCAACAGGACCCCCTGCAATAGCAAACATTTCAAACGCTGGTGACCAGGACAAAAGATCGACACTCTGAAACCCTTTGATGTCTGTATAGTCCGGTTTCTCCACAAAATCAATGCCATCTTTGAACTCAGAACAACTGAAATAAAAAATACCAATATTTAAAAAAAAGAGTTATAAATAAACCACCATTGTCACAGGCGGATCTGGGGAGTGGTAGCAAAAATGCAGTTCTAAGCAAAATACACATGCAACAGTGTAGTGACTTATTATTGACATAGTCAAGTTTGAGACACCCAAGGTAACTCAGTCTCACTTATTTTGCAAAAATAAATTAAAATTGCCACGTTTTTAATTTTTTGCCTCAGATAATTTCAGATTCTAGCAACGCCCCTACCAGCATGCAGTTCAGCGTTATGGTTCAGTAACCTCACTCTTCTAAATATTTTACTTACTAGCTATCAATGAGCGTAACTGTATTGCTGAAATCGCTGTTGCTCGCTGTACATTTGGATACTTGAAGACCATTCTCATCGTCAGCTGTCGCGAAAAATATATATATTTCAATAAATTAAAAGACATTTTGCTATGTTTAGCATGCAAAAAGCCATGTTTTAGTAAGGCACCGATGCAATAAGAGCTAAATAATCCAATTTTTATGAAATTTCAACGATCACTTACAAAATCTTACCTATTGAACTTGTGGATTTTTTACCGTCATCTGCCCCTTCTGCTCTAATCCTTAGTTGTACAACAGTGCCAATGGGTACAGCGCCCTCTAAGACACGACCAGTCACGTAGTCAACCAGCTCCAAATGATAATCTCTATCCAGGTTATTGGGCGTTGCAGTTCCACCTATCTCTGGTGGTGTCCTACAGAGTTAAAAGTACAATGATTTGACATGAGCAGGGGACCTTGTAACTTTATTTGCACAGGTGACCAACACAAGTACTGACATATTGTCATAGTCTCCAACTTTTTTCTGGATTGTGTTCGGCGGTTGGAGTTCGGTGTCTGTACAAATGTTAGGTGGTGACATCTTGCAAGTTAATGCCTTATTGGTTATTGCAGGAAGCCCTAGTCCTTATGTACTAACGCCCAGGGTACATGTAGTTTATGTAATTCATGGGTAGTTAGTCTAAGTTAGCTTAGATGATATTTATAATTAGAAAACAATACATTAACATTGTACTAAGCATAAATGAATAAACGCAAGAAGCACACGCGTCTCGAACTCGCAACCTCGTGGTTACGGCCCCGATTGCCAAGCCTAAACGTGCTGGCGCTCAAAATAGAGATAACATACGGTATCAATCCTCCTTCTCCGACTTCAGATTCACTGATAGATTTTGGAGTGTAGTCACAGCTTACAGTGAACACTTTGTCGTTGGTAGTAAACAGTATTCCCTCAACAACAGCTATTTCAATCGACAGCTTTTGCTCCGACTGAAAGGTATTAGCCAGATAACTTGTGAAAGTACTTGTCAATATACCTTTATATTATATTTTGTACATTATGCGCAGAGTCTAGTTATAAACTAATGACGAATGTCTCTTTTAAGAAGCAAAGTTGAGCGATTGCAAATAGTACTAAAAGGTTGTATATATTTTGAAGCCTCTATAATGATGTGAACAAGAAGTTGACTTGTAAAATGAGATGAAAAACCAGACCCTTAGACTTCCTGTAACCCAGCCTTCCAACATTTTGTACGTACCATTAGCGATTATAATCATGTAATAAACAAATACGTTGACGTATGCAAACCGAACCTTGAAACTTCCTACTTAAATCCTCCGACAATTTGTACGTACCACTCGTTTCATGCCACATGAACCGACTTTGCCAATGGTGGAGAGCCGATCCTGAGGCCAACTAAATTCGTATAACGTGTGAAAAGTATCATTATTATTTTGAAGAGGATTCTCTTGTGGACGACTCGGTTTAAATGCACATGTTTGATTTTCAAATGCATAGACGGTGTAGTTGTTAGCACTCCATAGATCACTGGTAACCTCAATTGTTATATTGATAGGTCCGAATCCCTCATCAGTAGTCTCGCCACCACAGTTAACAGAAACTAACAAAATTCAGTATAATATAATGGCATGTTCAGTAAAACCTGTCTAAGTGGAACACTCCTTCTGGTTCTGTCTACCCTTTAACCTTTGAATAATAAAGAGGAAACGACAGCCGTGCTTAATATCGTATTAATCAAAATATTATAACTAATGACAATTTTCTCGATGCTTATTGAACAAAATGAAGTTTGAGTGAACTCACAGTCATCCTTTGTTACCACTACGGCACAATTGCACATCTACAAGTATTAAATACATAGAGCAAATACCATAGAAACCAACTAGTGTTTCAATACAACTAAGAAAAAGTAAAATCTATAACCAATAAGTTCTGTATACCTGTTAGTCCCATTGTGTATTATGTAAACATTTTGAAAATGTTTTAGTTTAGTGAATAAAGTTTATTTATAAAAAAAAACACAAGAGAGCATTAATCCGTTATTGAAGAAGTAGCCAAAATGGATGTCAATGTCTTTGGTAAGATTTTTCAGTATGTGTTTTGTTTGAATTGCGTCTTCATTACTTTTTAAGTGAAAAAATTAGCGTACCTTCCCAAGAAATGTTTTTAAGGAGTACTAGTAAATGGAAAGCATACACTTGATATTAAAAAGGTTTATGTCGGTATTTAGAATGATATTGTCAAATACATTTCGACTGGTTTACCTAAATAAGCAGTTTTTAGTTTTAAATAAAGTGTGTGAAATTCTTGATATTTCCTGGTAAAATGGCATGCTCCGGCGCCTTACCAAAATTAGACATTGTTGACATTCCATGCTTCGCTTGATAAGAAGTTAATATTAACTGTGTGGATTCGACGTGGATTTTTTCCAAACATACTCACGTAAATTGTCAATAGTCCTACTAATACAACACTAAGCGCCATTTCTAATAAAAGATAAACACATACCTCAGATTATATCATACAATCATTGTTTTTGAATTTTTATCCCGACAAGAAACTGCGATCTAGGCTGCGTTTTTTAACTATCCGCGGGCGAGTGCATTGCATAATATATAATAAGTATTCCCCCTAGGTATCACAAAAAAGAACAAAGAGCCCATACGTTGCAAATTACACGCACACACATTTTCAACAAAAACAGTTCACCCAAGCGCACTTAAACCGCTAATTACGCTGTGGCAACCTTGTCGGCTGCCCACGTGTGCCAACCGCGCCGGATTGTTGCTAGTGCACCACATGAGTTCGATTGCAATAAGCCGTGATGTCTATCAAAACGATTATGTGATTGTTAGTGCGCTTGGATGAGCTTTTTTTAAAAACACATGAGACCTATTGTTCTTTTTAGTGCTACCTTGGGATAAACCTCATTAAAATATTACGCAATTCACTAGCACCGAGGGCATACACAAATACAGTTCTAATTACTTGTCACTGTATCGATTATATTTTACATTACATAATAGTATTAAACTATAAGAAAATATGAAAATAAGATCATGACTTCATAAGTGATGTTGCATGGACTATTGAATAATACAATAATTGAGTAATACTTACACAATATTGCGTATACCAATCGATCCCAACTCTAACTATGTCTACATTGTTCTGAACAATGAGTATTTACAACACAATTTAGAACAAAGGTGGGGACATGACTTAAGCATCCTTTGATTTGCATAAAGCATTCTTTATGTAGCTTTCCTTATCACTTTATTAACTATTTAACATTCAATATTTATTTACTTTATGAGTTAATAACGATAACCACGAGAAGTAAAAAGTTCAATAAAGCCAAATGTAAATAAGCGATTTCCATGTTCTGCGATGCCAAGCTTTTGCAATGTCAATATTCTTCGCAGTCAATTTGTTCAATCACAATGCTATGCTATGTCAAGAGCTTGTAAAGTAAGGTTTTTAGAATAGCAACTATGGTCGAAACAAAGTGATAATTGTGCAATGGTAAAGAATCGACTTAATAAGGTCGTTGGTATAATTGAGCTGTATTATAATGCATAAACCATGAGTACTGACTATTAGATGAAATAATCCAATGCAATTATTTCTCCTATGAGCCAATGCGAATGATTTATACAACTTAAACCCCACACCGACTCTTATGTAAGGTAAATGACACATGGTCCATTTAAGCTTGCACTGTACTATTCCACTATAAAGTTTGATTTTCTTTTGTATTGACTAATATTCATCTATGATACATCTTTTGTGCTTACAAAGTGCAATGTTATGTAATGTACATTATTCAAAATAAACATCAGTATGTTATATCGTGTTGGTACCTAAGTGGATTGTATTAGTCCCTCTATCTATATTCTATGACCAGAGTATTGTCACCTTCGACTTCCCAAAAGAACACTGAGCTTTTTTCCAATCTTCGTATAAAAATGATTAGTAAAATAAACGTAATAACCATGCACGCAAAACAGTCCGTGATATTATATGACACTATATCACGATAAACAAAGTCACCATTTAAAACAATTAATGCATTCGCGATCGCACGATTTGAATTGAGAGGATCAGTGATTTATTCGACTTACATATGTTTTGATATTACAGCTATTTTTGATCCATTAAATCAAATGCTTAATGGTTTCAAAATTAAGTTGAGTGCATTGATCTAGAAATTTGAAATGGAGTTGAATGAGCTGAACAATGTCATTGAATTATTGAAAATATGACAATTCAAATATATTAAATCAATACATTTGGGTGTGGATACATAATGTATTAATTGTAGGCAGGTCATATATACATCTGGAGATGTTCAAACTACTTACGTGCTTCGTAATGCCCGAGTCACATTTGCTCAGATTCTCAATCCGGCGCGGAGCCGATTGAGTATTTTGTTCAATAACTGATGCAATTTTGAACATACTCAATCGGCCGGGCACCGGATTGAAAATCGGAGCAAATGTAACTCACGGTATCACGTGTCTGTTTTAAAATGGCGCGTCCTCCTCCAAGAGCTATTTTTATTACCTTCAAGTTGATATTTTATTTTTGGTTTTAGAATTGTAGAATTTGTAAGTTAAACAGTTAGAATCTTATGGTGGTCCATGACCAAACAGGGTTTGACCAATGACAAAATATGATAGGGGTTGATATACCACTGGAAAGGGACACGCCTCTGTGATCAGGTTAATAATGCAATTACGGGATTCGTGATTCTAATCGTTAAGTTGATCAAATGGTGCCTTCATTGAAAGGGAGCAATTTTTACATTTTCTAAATTCAAAAGTTTTCAATGAGGCGCATTTAAAAAAAGTTCTGCATGATGACAACATTGAATTCAAGGACACATTTTTATATTTATTTTCGATATTTAGGGTGGGGAACTTGAAAGCTTTGAAGTCCCGAAATAATTGAACAAAAAACACCAAGTCTCAAATTAAATTCTATCTATTAGGAAAAAATTAAAACATACAGAATTCAAATAAATTCATCAATTTTGTCATCAGAAAAGGCCCTTCTGAATGCCAATTTGCTAGAGGTGGTGTATATGGCATAATCTAGATTTCTAAACGTCCATGTCTAATTTTCTTTTATAATGTAAGCATTTATCCAGATATCAGAGAGGCAGATGGTTGAATGGAATCTGTAAAATATCACCAATGGTATAGAGACGTGCTGAATAATTGACCAAACAACCTTTCCGTAATATTGTGCATGTATCCCTGAATGTCCCGCTTTCTTGGCTTCAAAAGTATTAATTGCCCATAGAGCTAGGTTTGCAATGATGACGAAAGTAACCAAGGACCTGCCTGGTTTACTTTGCAGATGTGTGTCGTGTACACTGGAACGCAGCATGCCATCTATAATCATAACAACTTGAAGGGCTGCCTGGATGATGGCAAACACCGACACAATTATCGATAGAACTCCTATAAATCCAAATACATGGGTCTGTTCGGCTGATGAGATTATCATGAATAAATGGAACATGAAAACAGCTCCAAGTGACACCATCAACAATACTGAATCTATACCACCCTCACCGGGAGAAAATCTCAAATATTTCAATTTCAGAATACTAATGAGACATCCGGCAAATGTTGCGGATAGAAGTACAATTTCTGTGATGTAAAATACTGTCATTGCCTCCACTGGCATCGTAAGGTTATCCACGAGTACGAAAAACACTGCCACGGCTACGATTGTCACCATGAAAACGAGAATGCCACCAAACAATCCTGAGTTCGCTTTATGACAATCCCGATTCACTTCCGGTTTGGCATTTTTTGAGGATGGCAGCTCGAGTGGTTTTCCTACTGAACTTAGAACTGTGTAAGAGAGTGTCGCCCCTAAGAGGCTAAATTCTATAACACACGGGAACAAATATTCAGAACTTTTCTCCGCGATGATCTCGTAGGCGTAGCAACCTGAAAAATATATCGACATGTTAGAAGAAGCGTTTTATTTTACATAAACCCAAATTGCATTGAAACGATACTTTCAAGGAATCAAGAGGCGTTTTCATGCTCACCTATATCCTCAACATTTCCCTCACTTGTCATAGTCTCATTATTCTGGAGTGGCTCCTTATTCTGCCCTTCACTACTCCTAACACTTGCGTTTCTGATGATTGCTTTGATTTTCGAAGGATAACAAAAATGCAAAAACATTTAAATGTAATGTACGCTTGTTTTGTACATGGTTCATGCAACCCGTTGCCTATAATGTAATTCTCACAGGTTTTGTTCACAAAAATGATCATTCTTCAAATACCTCTTTCACTTTTGATAACATTGCTAGTTGCCAGCTAATTAAGTAAGACACCATAAATCTCGATGGTCTCAATATAAATAGATTTGGCATACTTATCAGTAAAGGTTCATCTTTGTCTTCTCTGATGTCATTCTCAATCTCTGTTATTTCGTACCATAGCCACACACACAAGTTGGTGGCTATTAGATGCCACATGCACCATTTCACAAAACTTTTGTGGACGTTGACAACAATCTGAAAATTAAGTATAAGCTGAGATTCAGGTATAATTAAATTCGATCAAAACGATGTACCCTGACTTCGAATTTTCATTCAAAAATTATGAACCAAAGCTTAAATATCTGTAAATTTAAGAAAACGAAAACTTGATTTTGGGATCGAATGAAGAAGTGCCACGCCCACGTATTTAAGAAAATCATCGAGAAAGATCACACCTCTTTTCAAGATGGCGTATGAGGAAGGGAACCCGGATATACCAATTGATGAAGGACTTTTGACAGTTGAATTAAGTAAAAATAACACGAAAAATTGCTATTTAAAACAAAATTTCCTCGTCCTGCCAATGAAAATACGATTCAACTACATAAAAAGAATCCTAAAATACCCCGGGGATTATTGAGATACTAGTAAGTAATTTAGTGTACACAATTCTCCCATATTGTTATACAATTTAAACCCCTGTTTTATGCGCAGATATGATAGGTACGCAATAGCTGTACATGTATAACAACATTGCTATACAAACCCAAAAAATTAAAGGCCCACTTTACTTAATTTAGAAGAAAAAATAATCATTGAAACATGTTACTCACATACTCGCTCAAATATGACACAAAGTTTGATTTGCTTTAATATTGAACCAAAAAAATATAACTCACAAAGAAAAAATCATTTGAAGTTCAAAGATCATTAGACATGCATGCATATCTTAAACAAAGTGCATGTTTTAAACTACTGTTGATTTAAAAGATGGCGACACTTCTATAAAATGAATGTATCATGTAATACAAACAACTTTAATATCTTCCAATGACATTGGTACCTGTTACACTGCTGGGTTGAGTCTAACGAAGCATTTTTGTAACGAAGGTTAGCGAAAAAATTGTGTCCACACTGGCTTTATCCAACCCTAATGAAGCAATTATTTGGTGTTACACTGCACTTAAAATGCTTCGTTGCGCGTGCGCATTACTCATCTGCCCCACCCACTTATTTTGATTAATATTTTTATTCTTTTGATATAAATCATTGATCAAACTCAAAAATCATGTGATCATTCCGTACACATGTCCATACATTTTTCCGATCATTTCGATTTTTATATATTTCAGCTGTCAATACGATTACACGTATTGATTTCATTTTCTATCATTTCCTTTGGAAAACATATGGAATAAAAATAGGCCTATGTTAATTAGTAGGAGGAATTGGATTCGGGGTTTATACAGACGACTAGTATGTAATATCGTATAAAAACGTTCAATTTCCAAATGGACTTCTCAGTTATATTTCAAACAGTGTAGCCATTACTAAAATATCTCGGTGTTCGGCTGGTGGTTTAACTCACGCGGTCCTAACTTCGACCGTTAATTTGAATTTTCGAAAGGGATTTTTGTTATGCTTTGAATGGAACAAGTTTGAAGTTTGAAGGTGCAGTATGAGACTCTTAATCCTTGATTTTCAAACATCCGGTAGGTCAAAAATTCAAATTAACGGTCGGAGTTAGGACCGCGTGTAACTACTATTTCATGACCAATTCATTTTAATATGAATATCACCCGTCTCGCCAATACTCCATGCATATTTGAGTGAGTTTGACATAAATTAGTATGTTAATCCATCAGCCGTCCGTTGAATTCGAAAATGGCGCAAATAGGAAGAAACTTGAATATCAGTTGTAAGCATCGTCTTACGACACATCAATAGTGTTTGGGGCTGGCCAAAAACATGCAGCCTCTCTGTGGCAAATATCTGTCGACAAGAAACAATTTTGGCCACCGTTCCTTGTCCGCAGGTTTTACCGTATTTGTATACGGAAGTTTTGAAACGTAATTAATTCAACATATTTAAACATGAAGTTTAAATTCAATTACAATTTAAAATCGTCGAGGAATAAAATAATGGAACGACTAGTACAAGTACATGTATTGCAATGGGGCGATAGCCAGTTGAATACGATTTCTGAAGAGAGACATTTTCGAATCAATCAAATCGGCTATATTCCCTGATATGATTCACCGGGAAGCAATTGTATCAGTATCATGGTATTAACACCTTTAGAATTACATTCAAGGTATAATTATTCGAGGCGCAAGAAAAAATTAATATTAAACATGTATGCCACAACTTTCTATTTAGTAAGCATATCTTATGTAATTTCAAAAGTTTACCCTTCCACACTTGAGACGGAGTTTTCTGAAAGAGGGACATTTAAATATTCTAGGTTTATTTTCTAATAGATCAGATAAACGTTTCAAAACTACCGTATACATATATATACGGTACAACCTGCGTTTTTTAGATTTAATACTTTTTGTCATATCAATGCGAGGAAAGGCAGGGAATCGAATGAAATGCTACGAAAGACGGTAAATCACATTTATACGTGGCGTTTAGGGCTTGAGTTAGCGTCAATCAGTGACGCAAATAGGTAATTATTTTAATAAAAACGTAGCATTATAATAATACGTACTTAAAAACATGTTCTTTCCTCGCGATTCCTCTCATTTAATACAAAATGATGAATGTGCTCTTTATTACACGCATGCGCAAACCGCCAACTAAGCATTTTCTAACGAAGCTACCTGTTACACAGGCCAAAAAAGCTTCGTTGGGAGCTAACCTTCGTTGAATTTTCTACTCAATTGCTTCGTTATCAACTAAGCTTTTCCAACGAAGGCAGAGGTGTTACACTGGCCCAAAATTGCTTCGTTACGAAGCTTTTTGTCAAATTGCTTCGTAACGAAGCATTTCAACTGGCCTGTGTAACAGGGGTCATTGATAAACACTTGATATATAAAGCTTGACAGATCGAAAATATTTTTTGATAATTTATTGTAAGCTTTGATGTGGTCCGTTTGATCTGTAGTTGTCAAATGAACGATACGATTCTTATCAATACATTGGACATACGAGTAATAAGATATTCAAATGTAAGTCTTTATTTTGTCCAAAAGCTTTGAAAATACGCAAAGTGGGCCTTTAAACCATTACATGTAGTGAAAAATTATAGTGAAAAATATCGAAAAAGATAATAATGTGATGAACATTAACTTTTGCTGTAAACAGCGAGGATTCGATTGTGACAAAGAAGGGGCCATACCGTGTGGTTTTTGAAGAAAAACATTGTTTGCATGAAGGTGAAGACTATCTGGAGAAATGAACAGATGATAAAGGTGACCCCCTTGCAATCTATAGTAGAACTCCGTCCATCCTCGAATGCTTCTGACATCTTAAAACAACCATATAACATCGTCCCCATAGAAAACCCTGCAATTGGATATGTCAGCCTTAACAAAAAGCTACAGCAACGCCTATTGTTGTATGAATATTAGGATCCTCGGTAATGGACGAGATTACATTATTGTTAAAAACATTTTATATAAATAGCTTTATAATAAACTGTTCAATTATTAAACTGCATCCGTAATGGTTGCATCATCTGAACGATTACTCGAACGGATTGCGAGGAAAAAATTGCAGGACATTCCAATAAAACGATTGTGGTAGCTTTTGACATGTTTGATGATAATAATTTAATCCTGATGCAGGCGAGGAGTCGGATGTCAAGCAGGCCATATCACAGGGCAAAACTAGTAAAAAACCAAAAAATCTAACCCCCCTCCCCCCCCCCCCCCATTATCACTGTGAGCAAAGCAAACCCCCAAAAAGGGTTTCAACAAATTTTACAAAATTGCTTCTTTGTGGGATTAGGGGGCACCCATCGTAGCCCGTCTGGTTACGCCCATGCTTCCCTCGAGAGTTTTGAATGACATATAGTACATGTAGTATGGTACTTTAATTTTTACTGTACCGTCGGATATCGGGCTATAATTACTTTGTATGTTCAGGGTACGTCAAAACTGTAATGGTCACTTGACTTGAAAAATTCCGCGAAGATAAAAACATTTCAGAGGTGGACAGTGTCGCCTTGATAAATCGTGTTTTGTGGGGAAATATTACTAAAGGTCCTTGTGCAGAATGGCAAGTGATTTTAGACGGTCATATCTTTCGCCATGATGGGTACTTTCTGGCCATCAATACAGTGGTTTTTATTAAAACAATATGTTTTCTTTCAAGTGATGTCCCCATGGTAGTAAAATATCAATCCGACTCTCTGAGAAATTATGGATTAGGACCCTATATTGGCACTTTTTAAAAAAGGCTAGGCTCATTTTCTTAAAAGAGGATCTTGTTTTTCTCAATTTGAACATATCGAAAGTTTCTTCTACACGTTATTATTATTCTACACGTTATTATTATTTCTGAAAAGGGGATGTGTATTGAAACGCGTTAAAGTTAAAAAACACATATCCCATGTTATTTTCCCATAGGGAAAACTCGTGCTATCCATTGTTTTCAGCATAGTTTTGGTCATCGAAAATGGATATCTTCAAAACTAGACTTTCAATGCCATTCTACTTTTGAAAAAGTT